TTGCCTGGAGATTTTGTTTATTGTTTCAAGCACGGTCCCAGCGCAGCAGTTTTTTCGCTGTGCTACAGCAAAGTACGAGTTTCTGCTTACGCTGTTCCTGCCTCCTCTCCAGTCCTGTGCTTGGACACTGGTGTTGGGCACACTGTAAAAACTTGGGCAGATGGTAGGCGTAGCTAGGAGGATGCGAAGCCCTAAGTTTAGATTCAGAATAACATCTAAAAAGAGACAACACTTCCAGAAGGTACTTCTGCAAGTACACTCGTATGCTATGGGGATGTTGTGCTCCTGAGAGTTACCACATCTTTTGTTCACTGTGGTGCATTAGTGCTTAAGGCTTTGATATAGGATGCCTGCCTGGAGTCTAATGTTGCTTTTCTAACAATTCTAGTTTTAATTGTTAAATATTGTGAGACTGGGCTGATGAAATCCAATCTAACCCAAAGCAGTCCAAAAGCAGTTTTCTTTGTTACAGGATTCACCTCACCCATCACATTGAGAATGAAGAGCTGCGACAGAAGCTAATTAGAGAGTTGCAGTTGCTGGTGGAGGATGTTTATGGGGGTCAACAAGTGGATCAAGAGGTTATAGAAAAGGAGTACGTGGAGCGAGTCCTCCTGCTGAGAAAAGTATGAGCAGTGATAGCATTGTGTCACCATTCTGGGGAACTGAGGTTTTGTGGGATTCCTGGATGAAGATTCAGCTGAGTCCTGGGCACTGCTTTGATCTGAGCTCTGAAGCTCCATAGCCTGCAAATGGCAAATGGCTGTCACTGCCAGCTCAAGTGGTCGTGTACATGCTGACTGCCGAAATCCGATTATATAGTTAGCTGACCTGTAGGAATGGGCATGGTGACTATCCTGGTGGTCTTTGCACAGTCATAAGCTCATCCACACTTTGCCAGGCCAGCAGAGAGCTCCCTCAGCAGAGGGAGGATGGATGTCTCCCTGCCATGGAAGCAAATCACAGGATTGTAGGACATTTCTTGGAAGACCTCTCTGGTTCCTGCTCAGAGCAGGACTGTCAGTAGTGCTGGATCAGGTCAGCTGTGGCTTTGTCTACGTGAGAGGTGCCAACCTCCAAGCTGCACTTCTCCTCCCAGAGCCTAGGATGTGGCTGGCTTGTGGTGGGAAGGTCCAGCACCCAGGGCCCCTCGTGCCAGGAGGTGGCTCACTTCTAGCTTTTGCTGACTGGGCAGCATAAGGTGCTTCTGCTTTGCTGCTGCTCCATGCTTTGGAAGCAAAATCAAAGCAACCTCTTTGCAAAGGTAGATGAAGCTCTTGGTTAAACTATTGGGGTTTGTGCATTAGGAGCCCTGGTCTCACGTAAGTGGCAGAGTGCTGGCTGTAAAGGGGACAGAAGATATTGTGGCTCTTCCCAGTGCCAGGAGGAGGGTGAGCCCAGCTGTTTCCCAGCCTGCCCCTGGGATGCTGCTGTAGTATCTGGGGGATTCCTTGTGAAGAATAAAGCCTTCTTTATAAGGGGAGGAAGAGATCCGACTGTTCCAGCGTGAAGGCTTCGCTGTGGCAGCGGGACAGTGACTCATGTGACTTCCCACTGTCTGTTGAAAGGCTGCAGATGAATGTGGTGAGCCACTTCCCCATGCTAACTCTGAGTCAGCCTGCACGCGGCTCTGCAGCATGGGTACAGCCATGGCCCTTTGGGCTGCTTCTGTGTCCCTGCTCACGCCAGGTGGTTATGGGTGTTAAAAAATCAGCCACCTAAATGTCATCAATTAACATTTCCTCTGAGCAGTACGGAGTACAAGGTGGTATGTTTGGACCCTCTTTAACTGTTTGTGAAGTCCAGACAGGATGTGTTTGCTCCCCACCAGCTTAACCCTCAGCCTTGACAGCTTTGCTTCCTTTTTCCAGGGTCACATAAGCTTCCTGAAGAACCTGGTGTCATCTGATTATTCTTACTTATGGGTTAGGCCCTCGGTGTCCCGAGAGCAGCTCCAAACTATTTCTGCAGAAGTAGATGACATAGGAAGACTAGTCTTAGGGTAAGTGTCTCTTCCCAGCTCTGTACACAGTCACCTGCCCACCCCAGAGCATCACTCTTGGCTGTTCTATTGATGTTGGACATACTCATAGCTCTTATTTAATTTGCTCTACTTTGGAATGTGCTGTAGTTAATAACTGATGAGAAATTCTGTTTTTAATTGAAAGGCAGCTTGCCAGTGGGAAAGCTCGCATCAATGCTCTCAAGCAAGAATTGTCATGTCTGGATTTTGTAAGGCACCAAGCACAGCAGAGTTTGTGTGCCAGCATGGAGCTAATGAAGCCATGGTGTTAGCAGGGTTTTCTTGTGCCACCTGATCTCCTGTGCTTTTCGTCTGCTGTAGCATCAAACTGGAGAAGTGCAAGGTGGTTTTGGTCAACATGTATTCAGATTATGTAATGAGACTTCTGGGTCTCTGGACCCAGTTTGTGTGCAGCCGGAATCACTGTCACTTCTGAAAAGCTCACCCCTGGGGGCTTTTCCTGCTTCCATTTCTTTCTTTCTAGCTAGCAGTCTGCAGTTCTGTCTGCTCAGAAACATCACTGGGATGGTAGACAGTCCTTCTGTACCAGAGAGTTTTGTGGTGTTTTGCCAACATGTTTCACTGCTGCCCCATGTCCCTCTGCTACTTCACGCCTTGTAGCTAGGCGGGGTGGTATGTCCATCGCCTTTCCAGTTCAGATCTCACATCTGGACTAAAATGAGCCCTGAAAACCAGTTTTGGGAGTAATTAAGGTGGCAGTATCTGCAATCTGAGCTACTATTTCCAACTGTCTGTAAAGTTGGTTGCCCTCAGTCTTGTCACAGCTGAGTGGTGACTGAATCCAAGTGACGGTAATTTAAATGTCAATACTCGCTATCCTGCAGGGATAATAGTACTGCTACCTACAGCTGAGTAGTATCAGCGATGGCTCCTGCATCTCTGAAAATCATATTATTAAAAAAGAAATCACAATTACTGCTTTTCCTGTGGTTTTCCATGTCCTTGGCATAATTTTGTGATTTAAACTTGATGCTTGCCTTTCTGAACAAACTCTGCTGTTGGAAGTAGATTAAAGGTATGGTTTTGCAAAGCAGAGTCTTCAGCAGTAGTATTGAGGTAAAGCAGTCCCACCTGCCAGCATAGGAGGGTACCTGTGTACGTGACCAAAGCTGCAGTGAGCAGAGAGAGTGCCCTGGCACAGAGCAGGAGTGAAGGGCAGGGAAGTTTACCTTGAACCGCTGCTGTTGCCAGAAGATTTTTGCAAAACCAGTCTGAGGTTGCTGGCAGTCATTGAAGTCATTAGTCATTTTTGGGAAAGGATCCTGTGTTTTGTATGTCCCTAGACTGTAAGGACATCTTCTTTCCTAAAGGCTCATGACAAGGCAGGCAGCTGTTTTGACCATGGAGGAGTTGAACAAAGACCTGAGAAGCCTCCAGAAGCAAACCAAGGAGACTAAGTATAGCAGCGTGATGCAGCTTCTTCGCTTGGCTCTCAGTGGGCAGCAGGTAAAAAATAAAAATTCTGAGACTGGGACCTTCTTTTTTTTTCTTTCTGAACAGCTATCTTCTCTCTGATTACAAGGTACTGGTATTTGGACATCTTGCAAGAACTGACATCAGTTTCTGTTATGAGTGAATGTACCGATATACAGCAATTCTGGAAGAAAGAGCTGTTGAAAGTTTCAGAAAGGCAGAAGTTGTCAAAGCATGAATATGCTAGTACCAAATCTGAAGTTAGAAAAAGCTCTGGACCAGCTGTAGGGAGTGTTGGCAAGGTAGTAGGTTTTGGGCAAAACTGGGATTTTATGTGCAATTTGCTTTTACAAAGTTCAAAAACAAATTTTACAAAAGTTTACAAAATCAGAGCCTAATCCTGGCTTACACCCTGGCATCAATCTTTCTGGGTCAGTTTGACCATTCTTAGCATTTCACTTCAGGAGAGAAAAATCCCAAACCCTTGTTTTGAGATTGCTAATAAAACCCCTACCCTTGGGGTAACAGCAATCTGATAGCTAATAGCTCTGTCATTTCCGTCACGATGATGCATAAACAAGTGCTGAAAAGTGTTAAGTTTCCATTTGTACAATGACTTCTTATGTGTTTTCAGCATGGACCGAGCGTTGCTGAGATGATGGTGACTTTGGGACCCAAAGAAGTGTGTGGACGAATACAGAAAGCACTATCTAGCTAATACAAGACAGAAATGACACTGACAGCCAGCGCACGGACTCAGATGGTGTAGGCAGCACATGTCATTGTCCTCGTCCTGTATTTTTTGATCTCAGTATGATGTATCTTTTATCAGATGAGTTAGGCTTTAGACCAGGCAGGTGTCACCATGATGTTTCCAGGTCTGTATGTGTCTGCACTAAGCATAAGCCACTTCGTCTGGGAGAGAAACCAAATACAGTTTTAGGTCCGTCCTTCTGCTTTCATTTTGTGCATATGGCCTGGTTTCCAGGTTGGGAGAAAGAGACATTTATCAGCGTTTAAATTCAGACCATGTGGACAGAAAGCAGTGCTAATTCTGATACCAGCACGGTTCCTCTCAAGCAATTGGTCTCTTTTTGGAGAGGGCCTCACAATCAGGGTGCCTACACCTACAACTACAGAGGTCCCCAAAAAATAGCACAGGAAGGGTATTTTTATATATATGAATATATATAATATATTATGTATATTATAGCTGCTGCCCTCTTAGCTGCCCTGGTGTCCTACCCGGCTGAGTGAGCTGCTCAGAGAGAGGGACTCCCCTCCTTGTGTACTGTGTCATGCATGTGGTTCTGCTAAAAATATCCCTGACCAGGAGATTGGGATGTTTTTTCCTCTTTTGGATGGTGACCTTTTAATTATTAAATTAATATGGTGACTTTTGATTCCGTTCTCTCCAATGTGTGCTTGCTTTGCACGCCAGCAAGGGGAGGAGCAGTCGGAAGTGGGAGGGAGTGGGGGGGTATGTTTTACTGAGCCAGCCCACACCCACAGTCTACACTTCCACGCCACGAAAACTCACGGGGGCGAGCGGTGGCACGCAAGGAACGACGGCGGGTGGATCTGCTTCCTGCGAGCAGCGGGGCGGAGCGGAGCAAGAGTCCATGGCTGGCACTGGGGAACTGGAGCAGTGGCTCAGTGAGTGGGGCTGGGGACTGGTGGGCACCGGAGCAGCTTCAGCTCTGTGGGGAAGGGTCCATCTCCTCCACGGAGCCCCTTTAGGGTGATGTTCATGGGTGCTGTCTTAACCTGCTGCATCTGTCCTGCTCCCAGACTTGTCTGTCTGTTGTCAGCCCCAGTCCTGCCAAAGCGCTGGACTGGGGAGTGGATAAAACTGAAAAATACTTGTTTTCCTCAATTCAGCCGTGGAGGCAGAGCTTTGGGACAGGCACTCATGCAGCCCTTTTGCAAAAGGGTAAACTATGCCTGTGTTCCCGCACGGCAAGGTTTGCAGTCCAGTCCTGGGAGAGCTGGCTGTAAATGCTTTTTAACAGTTTCACGTGCTTTGTGCTGAAAGCAACATCATGCTGTTGCTGCTTTCAGCACCTCAGTTTATGCCTGACTTTGACTGTTTAAGAATGTGTATTCAGGACTGTATTTTTAGGCATATTTTAGTAACAGCTGTTTTGTTCTTGTCCTGTGTCTTCCATTTCTGCCCATTTTACAAAAAGCCCTAATGCAGCTGGTAGCAGTGCGAGGTCTGAGCCGCTTCCTGCCTTGTGCTGCTCGCTTGTACACATCTCGCACTGAGGCTGTTTTTTTCCTTTTTTCTTTCTTTTTTTTTCCTATGTAAGATAAGGCCACTGACCCAAGTATCCCCGAGGAAAACTGGGAATGCATCCAGCGGTTCTGTGACCAGGTGAATGCTGACATAGAAGGGTAAGGCAGACAGACAGCTCTTTGTGTTTGCTCTGGGTTGTATCTGGCTCTGAGCTTCTCTCATGGCTGCAGGGGGAATGGGATCTGTAAGCCGTGGTGTGGGGAGCCCGAAGAGACAGCTGGGAGTGCTTGCTGGGCTCTGCTGCTCCTGAGAGTGTAAATAAGTTGCAAAGAGGAGTATGCCAATGTGGTGGAGGTTGATGTCTAGGAATGGGCTCCGACAGCCATTGCTGCAACCCACAAGGCAGCAGGTTCTGCCTGCTGTGCCCTCACCAGCCTCTCGGGAGACTGGGCGAGGATACCTGCTGTAGGGAAGCCGTGGGTGGGCTCAGCCTCGGATTTTCCTTTCAAAGACGTGGGAGATCTCTGCTGGGACTCCCACACCTTCCAGCTGATAGTCTCAGCTCTGTGGGGAGGAGCAGGAACTAATTAAGCAAATAACCTGTCAAAGCTTAGTGGTCATCTCTTTCTTCAGAGCAGACGCCTGTGCATTCAGAGCCCGTAGTCTGGCACCCGTCTGCCCCAGCAGCGTGTGTGCACAGGGGCAGTCAGCAAACTGTCTCGGGCTCTGCATCAAGGCTCCTGCAGGGAGCCAGCTTGCATGGCACTTGCCCAGGGAGAGCCCCCAGCCTCTCCCATCTGGCTCCCTCCCAGAGGACAGCCTCTGGCCACAGCTGGAGGACAGCACTGGGGTCGCACAAGCTGCTTCAATTCATCTCTCGCCCCTTGTGCGTGTGTCCCCCAGGCCAGCGCTCCGCCAGAAGAAGGGTGTCTGTCAGGTAGCAGGTTGTGAATCCGGCAGTTGCTCTTCTCTGCAGGGCAAAATCAGCAGCATTTGTTTTTCTTGGGAACTTGTCCGTTGTCTGACTTGCTTTTGCTACTCCCCAGCCCATCGCTTGCACTGAGGCTGCTGGCGCATAAAATACAGTCACCTCAGGAGATGGAAGCTCTCCATGCTCTCACAGTAAGTGCTTTCATCTGTGTGCAAGGAGAGGCAGCAGTAACCTGGAAGCAGAATTTGGCGGGTAGAGACAGTATAGCTGTCTCTTCTTTTTCTCTTAGATGTCTCTCCCTTTTAACTTTCCATTGCATAAGGAATACAGAAACCAGGGTATAACGGAGGGAGTAACTGCTGTTGTTCCTTTCCTTGTTGCTCTGCTGAGGTGTTTCAGTGGTCTGCAGTTCTTGCTGTTTGACCTGTGGTTCCACCACAGGGTCAGTGGCCCAAAAGTTATTAGCGATGGGTAGAACATAGCAGATGGTCTTAATAATGCTGCTTAAGAAGATTGGATGAAGGAGAAATACATGTTCTTGCTGCACAACTTCCTTAGTATCTTGTATTTGTGAATGCAGAGCCAGAAAGTTCTTAGATTTAGTATTTTAATGGCAAAGTTATTTTAAAAAATTCCCCAAGACTTGTGTCTACAGTTTCTGTTTGGTACTGTTTTGTTTTCTGCAGGTGCTAGAGACCTGTGTGAATAACTGCGGCGAAAGATTTCATAATGAAATAGCAAAATTCAGGTTTCTGAATGAGCTGATTAAAGTGCTTTCCCCAAAGGTAGGTGGTCATGGTTACACTGGACAAAACACATGGGGCACACTGTTTATTTCATGCTGGATATGAAAACTTAGAATTAATCTCACATAGAAGTAGAGCAGAATTTATATTCTGTGCCTCCAAGCATAAGGACTGGATGTGAATCCCCCTGTAAAAGATGCAAGCCAGAGTCTTTCTGTGAAAAGATTTTTCCTTGTGGTTTCTCCCAGCTCTGCAGAGAGAGTCAGGGACTCTAGAGGAGCTTGAAATTGTTCCTGTGACCCCTTTTGCCTCTTGGTGATTTACAGAACTTTGGTCGGGGAAGTGTCAGAGGACAGAGATGCCAGGAGCTGCCCAGAGCCTCTCCCCTGTTTTCTTACGCTCTGTCCTCAGACTCTTGTGCTCAGGCTGCTCTCCTTCTTGCTTTGTCCTGTCAGAGGTTAGCCTGGGTTTGGGTCCTGTTCATGGGGCAGGATCAGCTTGGGTAGCGGCAGGGGGGACTGGATTTCAGCAGCCCTCATGCAGCCCTTGTGCAGCTCTTGCTCCACCATCGCCTGACAGTTGTGCATTCTTGCAGCCCCTTTGGGGTCCTGCTGAGGGTGTCCTGAAGGCCAGGCAGAGGGCTCCCAGCCCCCGGGCAGCGACAGCCCTAAGTCAGGAGCGGGCTGGAAGGGATCAGCTGTACTAACGTGGAAGCTGCCAAGTCCCTTCCTGCCGCTCCGCTTCCCTGGCTCGCAATATATTCATTCAATATATTCAACATAGTCATTCCTGCTCCCTGCTGTGGGCACTTTGCTTCTGAGTGCAGTTGCCGCCTCCTGAGAAGAGAAGCAGCCAACAGAAATGAGAAGTTTAGTTTGAGAAGCTAAGTGAGCTGTGAGTTTGGAATGGATGCACTGGGTCCCCTGGCAGTGCCTCTCATGATGAAAAATGGAGAGCTGTTTTATCAGAGACTGTGTAATCTTCACGCCTTGCTCCTCTTGCATCAAATAGCAGACCTGGGACTTTCTTAAATACCCTTCTCAGCAACTCAGCAATCGATTCCCCCTTTTAGTGGGTCCTGCACACATTTACCACTTGTACAAGCTTCATTTTCCATTACATCATCTCGATGGCAGAGGTGCAAAAAGCTGATTTCAGGGAAATGTTTAACTGAACAGCAAAACCTCTTCTCTCAGTCCCGGGTTTGGTAGACGTATTTCAGTGAAACAAGAAAATTTAAAGAATATGTCACTACAGAGTGCTTTGTTTGCTGTTTTGGCAGAACAGGTATCATTTAATGAGTTTAAAATGCCTAATGCTTTGGAGGTTTGCATGTGGCTTTTGTCATTCCTCCTGATGTTTTTATAATACATTAAAGTGAGTGCTTGTAGGCAATAATGAGAGAAATCAGAGAAAACATCCAGATGCTGAGAAAAGACAGTAACTTTCGTTTCTTGTGTTGTTCAGTTTTCATTTGTCTGGGTCTGGCTGAGGCCAGTGGTGCTATTTGCGTTGCAGGCAGTTAAGGGAAGTATTTAAAGTCAAGCACAGAACTGTTTACACTAAAATAAAACAACCTACTTTTGGTTTCGGATTCAATAACCAATCAGAGAAGTTTTGAAATGGTTTCATTTTGATTGTCATAGAATATTTATGTAATTATCATACACTTAATAGCATTCCTTGTATTTACAGCCACAGCTATATACACCATTTCCTATACCACAAGATACACAGTTGACAACACTGTGAATAAAGTGTTGGGAATCCATTTGCTACTTGGTTTCTGCACACAAACAACTTGGGGCTAGACCCATATGCCATATCTGGCACTAATTGTTTGGTTTTAATCTTTTTTGTCTTACTTTACTTTTTTGTTTTGGTTTGGTTTTTTTTCAGTACTATGGAACCTGGTCTTCAGAAAAAGTAAAGTCAAGAGTCACAGAAGTAATATTCAGTTGGACAGTCTGGTTTCCTCAGGAAGTTAAAATCCGGGATGCTTATCAGATGCTAAAGAAACAAGGTTTAGTTCTGTTATTTCAGTTTCCTTTTTAGCTTTCCAAGTCACATGGTTTCAGACCACAGATATCTGCCCTCTTTAATTTGTGACTCAGCTTTTTTCATAAAATGTTGTAAGGAGAAAAGGACAAAGGCCACGCTTACAAGGCTGTTTGGGTACTTAAGGATGCATGCAACTGTTTAAAGAGATTTACCGAAGAACAGCCTTGTTGAGTTAAAGATTAGGCTAGCCTTGTGGCCTCTCTTCACACAGTGCTCACCACTGTTGTGCAGGGAAAAGGTACAGGACAAACTCAGCGTGATCTTTGCCCTGGAGTACTCTCCCAGGATTATGAGGGATGGGTTTGGAGAGATCCTGAGCTGGATTTTTCATCCATTCCATCATATTTAATAGTCCTTAATGGTATTGTAATCCAGAAATTTGTCCAATCCCGTCTTGATATCCCAGGTAATAAATTTCACAGCTTAACTAAGAAAGTACCATAATACTTTCTGTGGAAGTTCAGGGGATTTAGGGAATTTGTTTAGATGCTTCCCACCAGGTTTGCTTTGTGCATCTTTGAGCCTCAAATGGCTTTGCAAGCCTTCCCCCAAGTACTGCTGTGGAAAGCTTCCTCACTGTCACTGCCTTTCCTTTGTGCAGCGACTGCTGCAGGCTGGGCTGTTGCTGCAGCACCGGTGGGGTGCTGAGCAGGGGTGCTGGGTGCCCTCCTGCGGGGCAGCTCTCGGGGACCGCTGCCCATCCAACGCCTGCACAGTCAGAGGTTGCTGCTGCTGCAAGCGCTGGCCGGAGAGGCATGATGGGGGACGTCCACGGAATCACTGTTGGCGTTAGGGGTTCCTTTGGTACTCGGTTGTGTGTGTTTGGTGCCCTACATTTTATGGTTGTACTGATTGTGGCGATCCTGCTGCTCGGAGGTCAATACTGGTGTGCTCCCAGTGCTCTTGCTATGGGAGATTTTTAGCAATTCACCCAGAGGGAGTTCAGCTCATCTGAATTTTATTTTCTACCCTGAAAATCTCATTTAGCCTGTGCTTAATTCAAGGGAGAAAGGGAAGTCTTTTGTCTGTATGTGTGCTAAGGCAACTCCTTGCTGCTTCATCTCATTCTGTAAAGTTCTGGGGCGGGGTGAAAGAAATAGGTGCAAAATCCAATGCACCATTGAGCATTGGTGTTTTAACAGCTCAGGCGTCAATGAACAAATACTGTTACCCATTCCAGGGATTGTAAAAGAAGACCCCAAACTGCCAGAAGACAAAATTTTACCTCCCCCTTCTCCGAGACCTCAGAATTCTATTTTTGACACAGATGAAGAGAAATCCAAGGAAAACCTTTGGGTTTTTCAAGCCTTCCCCCCCCCCCCGCCCCGATTTGTACTGATGAGAAAACAGGCTCGGACATATTTTGGGAGCTTTTGCTGTTTCAGACAGAGTATCTTCAGAATAATGCTAATACTTCATGCTGTACAACAGCTAGAGAATTCTTTGATGCTTTGTCAGAATTTTTTGCTTAGCAAAAAGTGAAACTTTTCTAGAGAAAAACATCAGTTTAATAGAAACTTTCCCAAGGGAGGGAAAAGTTCTGCAGAGCCAGAGAGTTCCTATACCCAAACAGCCAGTGTGTGCAGGCAGCTGTAGGAGGCAGCAATGTAATCTGGATTAGATTATGGGACATGAGTCCACTTATTTCCAGAATTATACAAAATATTATGACAGTGGGTGTCTCTCAGTATCTGCTCTTATGTGATGTGTGCCTGTAGTATGGTGCCTAGAGACTGCTGCTCACTGTTGTCCAATGCTATCCCCTCAACAGCTCTTAGCAAGGCTTTTAAAGAGCAACCACTCTGAAGACCTGCAGGCTGCCAACCGTCTGATCAAGAGCATGATTAAAGAGGTAGGGAGCTCCTTGGGTCAGAAGCTGTGTTTGCAGCTGGGGAGGGTGGGAGGGGACTTGGTAGTTCAGTTTTTGACAGTGGTCCCTCTATACCTGACCTCTGTAGTGCCTGCCACCTCATTGGTATTAAAGGGAACACCAAGAGGTGGTAGTGGGAACCTTGCTGCGTTATCAGTCTCAGGTGAACTATTTAAGCTGCCCCAGAGGAGGGACGATTTTCAGTATTTGTTATTCCAAAATTTCAATGTGGGATTATTTTGTTTTGTTTCCCTAAAATATGCCATTGCCAGGAAGAGCAAATATTTATACCCAGGAGCCTGTATGACAGGACACTTCTACTTTAGTGGGATCCCGACAGTAGTACTGCATTAGTGATAGCAAGTTTCCAAAAATAGACTCAGTTCCCAAGTGGAAAAAAGCCATATCTGTACAAAACTGCCTGTTTTGTACAGCAATGTGTGCGTGCACGTCTGGTGTGTCTGTCTTCATCTTCCATCTGAAAGGGCACACCAATTCTCTGCATAAATAGGAGATTTGGTTTGGTTTAACGAAATCCCTGCTGTCGTTTTGAGACTGTTGTTCTACATGGCAGAAGCCACCAGCTCCCAACTCTAATTTTGAAGTCTTACTCGTGACTGTGGTGAAATGAATTCTTATGCACCAGCACACTGGCCAGGGTACCCTGAGAGGGGCAGGAGGTTTCCATCTTCACCCTTGACAGGGAAGTGTGGTGCAGCACTGATACTGGAGCTGCTGGGGGGGTGAGTCCTTACACACACTGCTTTGTGCCTCCTCTACCTGCAATAAGATACTAGTAGAAAGCAACATGCATTGGCTATACTAGCCAAATCATCATATACTTTTATTTCATTTTTCATCAAAGGAACAAGAAAAGTCAGCTAAGGTGTCCAGAAGAGTGAATACCATCAGTGAGGTTTCTGAGAATGTGAAACGTATGGACGAATTACTGGAAAATTACAAGAGACAAGAATTATCCAAATCTGACCAGGAGTCCCTACAGGTAAATGGTCTTTTTCCTGCATAAGAAGTTCTTTTGACTGGCTATGGCTGGGAGGGCCCAGGGCAACAGGATTCAAAGGGCAGCTTCTGCCAAGGAAACAGCATTACCACAGCAAATAGTTTCCAGCATATTTGATGAATAACAGTCCCTTCCATCAGTGTAATGGAAATTGGAATGGAACCGGCTCCTGCTGTGCCAATTTGACTTTCTGTCCAGGTTAGCTGCTCTTCTTGTGGTATCTTACGGGGAAATGGTTCTTCCTCCAACAGTGGTGTAGCACACAGGAATCCCCTTGAGCCTGGGCATGCTTAGGTGGGTGTGACGAGATCCGACCAGAGAAGCTCAAAGCTGTGGGTTCTTCAGCTTGTGCTATGGTTTATGTGATTCCCTTTTTTCTGCCCAGAGTTCACTGGTCTGCTGCTGCTCATAATTATCAATGAATTGTGGAAACGTTTGATGTCACTAATAGGGCTGTCAGAAGAGCTTTATGGCCTCCAAATATCTGAAACTCCATTAGGATGCTTACCAGACTCTCAAATTAAAAAAACTCTAGAAACTGAATTTTTGTAGGTAAGAACTTCTGTGGCTGTGTGTGACAGCAGAGTTTGGAGTTAGCTGCTGTTGGGAGGGCTGCTGCTGTAGATGGAAGAGAGTCTACTTTCAGACTGAAGAAGTGGCTGCCTCCGTGCCTCCTTACTTCCTAAAAACCAAGCGGCCTTGCATTGTCTGACGGTAGTTGCAACTGGCAGTTGTAATACTTCCCTCTGAGTACCGTGATCGATCTATTCACACCTGGATACTTTTTCTTTTAAATTGAGTAATTTTACACTGATCTCTCTTACATCTGTATGCATAGAGAGGATGCGATTGCTGAGGAGATACCAGCAAACCCTCCTTGTTCCAGTGTCTGTACTTCCAGGCCACTGTGGATTTTTAAGAGTACAGCAACATGCAGCATTGATACCCTTTGTCTGGACCTGGGCAGAAAGCGCATCTTCCTCTCCTAGAGGGGTAGCATCACTTACAGGTGATCACAGGAACAGGGAAGTGTGAGACTGTCTGGGATCTCCTGAGCAATGATGTGAACCATTTCCTTCCATAGACTCTGTTTCAACGCTGTGAGAAGCTCAGGCCACTGCTCTTTCGCCTTGCCAGTGAGACAGTTGATGATGATGAGGCTCTAGGTAAGAACCAACCCTGTCCTTGGATTTCTTTGCAGTTAAATTCATCTACCTTTGCTTTGACAAGTGGGATACGCCCTTCCTCTGAGAGGGGAATGCTTAGGCACTTGCTACCGTGCTGCCAAAGCTTTCCACATTCACCTTTAAACCATGCCCATGGGAAGCTCCTCCCACCCCTTTCCAAGGAAGGTATAGATTTTCACTTGGAGCCCAAAGTTAAACAGTCAATCCAGTTTCTTCTAGCCAAGGTGGTTTTCAGAGTTTGTGGAGTTCTGGTGTTCAGAGAACTGGAGGCTTTTGCAGTCTTATCTCTACAGAGATTGAAGTTCTCCCTGTCTATCAACACAGAAGGGAGAATATTTTTTGAATTTCTTAAGTAATATATTGAGGAGGGCCATATGAGTGGAATCTTTGAATTCCATGGTTGTGAAATTTAGCCCTTCCCAGAGGACTGCATTTCACAGTCTTGTCCATATGCCTTGAAAACCTGACTGAAGGGATGCCTTGCTGAATAGAGATCTTAAACAGCAAACATAAGAGCTCAGCTGTGCCTCAAACATTTCATTCATACCCATGAATGCCAGGGTTCCTCAGCTGGGGAGTGCTGGATTATATACTCAAGTACACTTGGCAAACTTGCAGAGAACAATAAAGTGCATAAGAAATGGCAGGAACTGTAAGTGCTTTAGAGATAGGATCAGATTTCAAAGTGATCTTGATGAATATGAGAGAGGCCTGAAATCAGCAGATGTATGCGCAAAATGCTGCACTTCAGGAAATGGAATGAAAAACTAGTCAGGAGTTTAAGGCATATTGCCCCACTAGACTTTGCTCCAGGCAAGTCCTTAGATGCACTGTACCTCCCTCATGTGCAGTTTGGAGAGTGCCGTGGAACTGACCCTCCCATTAGAACATTAATGTTTTGTTTCTTCTCTTGTTTTCCAGCTGAGATACTGCAGGCCAATGACAAACTCACACAGGCGCTCGGGCAGTACAGGCGGGTTGTAGCCAGGCATGAAAATGGTGATGGAGGAGGTTCAGCTACCAGTTCTGCTGATGCAGCAGGTAAAGAGCATCCAGCAGCATTCCATGACAGCTCTGCTCCTGCACGTCATGTATGAGTGGAGTTCGGAAGGGAAATGGTTCTCGGAGAATAAATGTGGAGAAAATCCTTTAACACAGGAAAACTATGATGTAACCATCATTTGCTTTTATGTATAGTTGATAGGAAATATTCCTGAAGTTCTTCATCTATGAGTCCTTTCGGGCATGCCTGCACCCATAAATACACTGTTCCTTTCAGGAGGTTTCTCTTTAACTCTTTCTGCTCTTTCCAAAGCATGCCGGCCAACTCCAAGACGCATGAAGAGCTATACACTGATTGACTTCTCTGAACTGGAGGCGACATCCCAGTCTCCTACAGACCAATTTGCAAACATAACCACCGCCTCCCGGCACAGCAGCACAACCTCTACCTGTCTGCTCGATGAGGAGTTAAAGTCATTAGGTTTGTATGTGCAATTCAGTACAGCGTTACCCTTGTTACTAGGGTTCGTGGTGTTTAATGAAGATAGGAGAACTTTGACTTTAATGTCAGTCCTAAGAGAAAGTAGACCCTTTCAGCCAGTGTCGTAAATTTTCAAGAATGTAGTTTCTTTAATGGTGTTAGACTGTAGTTAAACTGCTGTTAGACAACAAGAACCTGTAGAAAACCCTTGTTTTTTGTAATTGATCTGTAGCATTTTGGCATCTTTCTTAGGTCTCAGCAACTCTCCTGTTGCACAGAAACCACCACCTGATTTTGGATTAGCAGAGGTGAGTGATCCTCAGATACTTAAGTCCATAAGGTACAAAGGACAAAAATCAGATGTGATTCTTGATCTAGCTTTCTCTGGCAGCCTTTTGTTACACTGCTCTATTCTGAAGGGAAACTGGAATCCTTGTCCTCTGCAATGAATTTCTCAGTTGCAGTTTGCAACCAGATTACTCATATTTATTTCTACTTTAAGTAGTGTTATTGAAAATGAGGTGGTTCTCAGTGGAACAGGTCTGATTTTTGCTGATGTGATGTTCTATAGCATGAACCAGAAGTGCCTTACTTTTCAGACTGATGTACACAATGGATATGGTGAAATTGTAAGTGCTGTTCAAACACTGGGACTGCAGGAGAGCTGGGAAGACAGCTGTTCGGAGAAGAATGCATTTCGGGGCCTGGCTGATCAGCTCTCTCCACCATCCAGGACCAAGACATTATCCTTGTAAGCAAACTCTGCATAATACAGACTGCCTTTGGAGATGAGGACTACTGTTTTAGAGCAGTGAGTTTTAGGAAAACCTTTCAACTACAACTGGTTAGTGATGGCAAGCTATCCATCTGTGCATTGGCTCTTAAGCAGCAGTTATGATCCTGTTAATTGCACTGTGTGCAATTGCACACTAGGACCTTCCAAGGGTCAGAAACTTGGAGAGACAAACCCCATGGCCTAGTAACAAGGTGATCCTGAGGTAAAGGAACAAAACCATTGCAGTCAGGTCTTTTTATAATAACCTGTGACTCAAAAAATACTTTCCCCAGCTTTCTTCAGGCTGCAACAAAGTAGTTTCCACGCATTCAGTGGAAGCCTAACAGTTCATGAACCAAATTAATCATCCACATGTCTTCACAGCAGGTGACCATTACAATATGCTTATCCAGTCTGCCATAATACAAGCCAGGAAATTTTACTGGAGATTCCCAACTTCTTTGAGCTAGAATTTCCTTTAATCTCACTGACTAGAGCTCCGGAGAGCCTGTGAATGGGGAGAGTAGGCTTCCAAAGCCCTGAAACAAAGTTTCACGATAGTAACAGAAATCAAAGTCTGCCTTACTGAATGCTGAAACAGCAACTTCTTCCCATATGAAATAGAGACAGTTTTTTAATTTCTCAAGAACTCGGAGAGTATAAGCTTGTACTTTCTGTATACCTAAAAGGGATGAGGGATTGGGAATACAAATGCACACAGCAGAAGATGGTATATACCATGTAGTCTCCCCAGTTAATATAAGCTTTCTACATGCTTTTCTTTCCAGGGATTTATCACCCATGAAATTGCCCTTTCCAGATCTTCCAAATAGCTCAATGGCAGATACTTCATTCTCCAGCCTAGGCTACGAGCTGAAGCCTGCTGCCTCTTTGCATCCAGCTTCCTATGATGCTTCTCTAGAAAACCTTTTTGTCCCTTTAATTTCAATTACACCGAGTAAGTGCAATGATTTCTGTGCCCCAGCTCTGCTTACTAGTGGCTTACTAGAGCTCTTCTGTGATTTTTGCAGGCGAGCAAGCCAAAGTAGCTTCATGCTGTGTGGGTTGGCTGGAGAAAAGTAATGACTGTTCTGTGAAGGACTTAATGTATCTGAGAAGTTGAGCAAGTGCTAGGGATCATACCATGGAAATGTCCTTGTCCTCCCTACTCAGTAGTCAGGAGTTTCCTGCCCTGGCTAACCTCTGTGATGTGCTTCTAAACTGTTTGCCCTTAGCACCTTTAATCAAGTTTCAAGCAGTTCTTCTCCAGAGGCTAAAAAGGTATCTATGGGTGGGAGTTGCTCTGCTTCCCAAAGCAGAGCTGTTCTTTCCACCTCTGCTTTTCAATTCAGCACTCTTTGGCCCAGCCCTGCAACCACTTGATGGAGCATCAGCCTGGGTACATGGCACCCCAGTGTCTCAGAGCAGGACACATCCTGTTACGAGGACTGCAGGGCTGTCGCTACTTTTGGAAGAGGACAGGTGCAGAGACATTATGACCTGATTGTCTTCTGCCTTCAGTCTCTCAAGTGAAGGATTTACCAGATTTTGGAAGGGCTGAATGGTGATAGTTAGGTGTGGATTTACCAGGCAATGGTGATAAGGGCTAAGTCTTGTGTGTGCCGAAGAATTACATTTTGCTTTTCCCATCGTATCTCTATTGGATCCACACTTGACATCTCCAGCTGACTGTTGAAATCTGAGCTGCTAAATCTCCAATTTAGACAATCAGATTCCTTTCTCTGCCTTAGAGGCAAAATGTAAATCACAGGCAGCTGCTTGGTCTGTGAGTTTGCTGGAGGAAGTAAAAGTTTGTATGCGTGTTTCCTCTTTGCTGTTCCTTATCCTGTCTTTGCTGTTCTGCCCTCAGAAGGAAGGGGAATCCACGCTTTGTTTCTGACTCTCCTTTTGTCTCCGGCAGGCAGTATCTGTCCACTTACTGTGTATGACAGGAATGGTTTCAAGGCCATGCTCCACTTCTCCAGAGACCGGGCTCCTGGCCGACCAGATGTGCTGGTGCTGGTTCTTTCCATGCTGAGCACATCAGCTCAACCAATTAAGGACATAGCATTCCAGGCTGCAGTCCCGAAGGTGAGAAGCCTGTGGTGAGTGGCAGAGAAGAGGGACGACTCAGAAATGTCCTGAGGAGAAGGTTCGCCCTTACTTGCTTAGGATTTTCTTTGCTCATCAGAAATTGCACGCCTCACTTTCTCTGAACGGTGAACCTGCTGTATGGTGGTGCCTGTGGCGCCAGTGTTTGTTTCACAGCGTATATCCCTGGCCTTGTGACAACTAGACGGGGCTCCATACATGCTGGTTTAGCCTCCTGGGGAAGGCACTCGTTCTGCCTTTGTATGTACAGCATGGAATTATCTATTTAGGAATATCTGCCTTTAGATGCAGGCTGTGAAAAGGCATGCTTTTCATTAAATGCCAAAATGTGTGGCCTGTAGTTCCCTGGGTCCTCCTTCTTGCTCTTCTGGGATGCTGAAAAAGGCCTGGGTCCCTCCCTGGGAGTGCTGAGGGAGCTGGCTGATGTCGTTGCGAAGCCACTCTTGATAATCTTTGATCGATTGTGGTGACTGCGAGAAGTGTCCAAAGTCTGGGAAGGTCACCCTCATCTTCCAGGTGGTCCCAGCATGGACCAAAAAGCATTCCTTTTGTTTTCTCTTTCAGACCATGAAAATAAAGTTACAACCAGCATCCGGTACTGAGCTGCCCGCCTTCAGTCCTCTCCTCCCCCCTGCAGTGGTATCCCAGGTCCTGCTGCTCGCCAATCCACGCAAGGTATGTGTGGTGATGGAGTCTGCTGGTGGAGCACTCGGAATGTCACTGTAGCGGGTGGGGTATTTGTATGAAAGATGGGGAGAATATCATTAGCAGGAAGATGCAGGGGAGAGACAGAGCAGTCTGGGCTGTGCTGGGAAGACATTTTTCCCACTGAAACAGCTTTCCAGAGCTATAATCTGAAGGATTGAATGGGCAGTTGCTGCAGGGGCCTGCACAGCTCTGCCTCAGTCTACCTGCAGAGATGGCTCCTGGTAGACACTGTGTGGATGTTTGCAGCTGATGGAACACGAGGCCACCCAAGGAGCAAGCAATGGGTGGCAGTTCTGTTGCATTGGTGAATAATTATGAGACTGATGATTGGTGTAAGGAATCTTCTGTCACTGTGAAGGTTGGCCAGGCCTGGATTGCCAAGCATGCCCCTGTGTGGCTTGCATAGGTCTCCCAGTTGCTCCCTGAATATCTTATGAAGATCCAGGTCTCGTTCTGTGCAGAGGTTCCACGTGGCTGAAGTGTTACTCTCCCCTTCCAGAGGGTGATTCATTGCAGCAAGGCTTCGAGGGGTGAGGCTGAAGCGGGCCCAGGAATCTGCAACCATGACATGCCCCTCTCTCTGTTCCTTTCTCTCATAGGATCCCATCCGACTGAGATACAAACTAGCGTTCATGCAAGGCGTGCAGCCCTTCAGTGAGGTGGGAGAGGTGACTGGCTTCCCAGAAGCAGAGCTCTGGGGCAGGAGCTGAAGTTCAGCAGGCTTGGATGTTGCCATATTGCCTTAGCCACAGGTGGGGAGGGACTGTGTGCCAGCAGTGCCGGCCTGGACTCCATAATGGCTCCTTTCCTCAGGATCCGCCATCTCCTTCTTCCTTTTGGTTTCTGTGCCAGTGTCTGGCAGGAGGAGTATAAACTGGCTGCTTCTGCCATGGCCTTTCTCTGTAGCTGACCATGCTTTACAAGAGACTGCTGTAGAGCCCTGCAGCCCAGGAGCCCTAATGCTTCTTTCATACAAGTGTTTCCTGCTGCTTTCTGGGCCAGTGTTCCCTCACCCCCATTACTTTTTCTTTCTGAATTAAAAAAAAAAGAAAAAAAAAAGCAAACCTATCCCAACAATCAGCCCTCGTAGCAGACTGCTTGGAGCCAGGGCAGGATCTGTTGCAGGGGCTTACCCACCCTGTTTTCACTGGGGCCTGTGTGCTAATGTGCAGGCAACAACGTGAGGAATGGTGAGAGTTGGGCTATCTGGACTCTGGCAGAGGCGGTTTATAGGGAAAGGTACAAAACGGAGGGAAGAGAGCAAGCAGGGGGAGGGCTTTGGGGCCAGCCTGTGAGAAAAAACCTCTGAGACACTCATCCGTCCCCAGGCCCCGCATCTTGTCTTGCTCTGGCTCCTTCCTTTGGGCTCTGCAGAGCTCCAGGCACGTTTGGGGCTTTCTCCTCCTCATCCTCCCCACAGTCGCCTCCTGCCTGCCAGCTGCGCTGCGGGGACACCGGCCCACAGCGGGGCCGAGGCCAAGGCCTTCGGTTAAAAGCCCCTGCGCTTCCAGCTGTGCGGGAGGAGAACGGGCGTATTTTATTGCCCAGGTACGCTGAGCCATGAGGACGGCGGGAGGGAGGTCCGCACCCCCGGTGCAGCGGGGTTCCGGAGCACCTTCCCGGGTCCTGGCCGCCCCGGCGGTATTTTGGGTGCGAGTTTGTCCCGCTCTGGGACACTCCCCCGCTGTTTTTTCTCCACAGACCCCGCTGAGGGTGGCGGCTCCCCGCCTTTAAGCCGGTGTCCGAGCCGGAGCGCGGGGCCTCCGTTCCGCGGCCCCGGCCCCGCCCACCCGCGCCGGGGAACGCCCCCGTCCGCCGACGGTGGCCGCCCGGCGGTTACGGTGGCCGGCAGGGGCCTGGCGGCGCGTTTCCTGGTGCGCTGCGGGGCAGCCGCCGCGGCCGGCCTGTCCCCGCCGCGGGCCCGGGGGCGAGACGAGGTGAGGTGAAGTGAAGGCAAGGCGGCGGCGATGGATTTCTCCAGGTTCCTGTCGGATGACTTTGAGGTGAAGAGCTGGGTGAACGCGGCCTTCCGGGCCGTGCAGCAGGAGGCCCCCGGGAAGGTGGACGCCCACGCCGCTACCCTGGTGATGAAGTTGCAGCTCTTCATCCAGGAGGTCAACAACGCCGTGGAAGGTGAGGTGGGCGGCGGGGGTCGTCAACGTGTCGGGCCGGAGACCGTGTGTGTGGGTTTTGTTGCTCCGGTGAAGCTTTCCTCCCGCTGCGGGACGGACTGGGGTGCTGCTGCAGGCTGCGTGTCCTGACAGATCCGCTCTCAACGCCGGGAAACGGCTGCCCCTGCCAGGGGAGGCTTAGGTTGGGTATTAGGGAAAATGGCTTCGGAGAGAGGGTTGTGGAGCACAGGCTGCCCGGGGAAGGGGTCGGCTCACCGTCCCTGGAGGGATTTGAAAGACGTGTTACGTGTTTAGGGACACGGTTTAGGGGTGGGCTTGGCGGCGTTTGGTTCACGGTGGACTCGGTGATCTTAAAGGTCTTTTCCAGCCTAAACGATTCTATGATTCTACGATAAAGTACGTATTTAAACGTACTTTGAAGCTTAAGTACTCTAAAGTTAAAACTAAAGTTTTGTTGTTTGTGTTTTGCTTTGTTGTTTGGTCTTTTCCAAGTATGGAAGGTTACATAAGATTACTGAAAAACTCCCTCTTTCCTGCAAGGGTTCTCAGGCCCTCCTTCCTCACTGCACTGCTTGGTGTTTCTGTAGAAACAAGCCACCAGGCTCTCCAGAACATGCCCAGAGTCCTCCGGGAAGTGGAGGTCTTGAAACAGGAGGCAACGTTCCTGAAGGAGCAAATGACCCTTGTTAAAGAAGATATCAAGAAATTTGAAGAAGACACAGCTCAGTCAATGCAGGTAGGTTCTTGTCTTACTCAGTATTTATTTGCAACTAGTGAAATTCTGGTTTCCAGGCTTGTTCATATTGAGCAATCTTCTGAACTCAAGATAGACAAAACCACTTCTATTAATGTTAATAGTAGAAAAACTGTGTGTGGCACAGACCAGTGCAATCTGCATTTCCTGAGGAACAGCTGATCATGCTTCAGTTCAGACAGAGTTGCTATTACCTGACTGGGGACACTGATTTCTGCCCAGATTTCTGCCTAATGTTAGCTGTGGTCCATTTTTCAGGCAAAGCGGATACTAAAAGTACAAATTCAGAATGCAAACTAACGTTTTGTTGTTTGACTTTGGAAGTTGATTTAATATCTCAAGCTCTTTCAGCCAACTCCTTCCTCCTTTTAACAGCATGATCTTTTCACCCAATTTTTAAAAGCCAAGCCAAAAATAACTCCCATAATACAAGTATCTATGACAGTCATCTTTTGTTTCAATGGGCAACGTTATATTTTTTTTTCTTCAGGTCCTGGTAGAGATTGACCAAGTGAAATCTAGAATGCAGTTGGCTGCCGAGTCACTTCAGGAAGCAGACAAATGGAGCACGTTAAGTGCAGACATTGAAGAGACTCTTAAAACACAGGTAGAGGCCCCATTATTCTTTTTGCCCTTTGTGCCTTCAGCTTTCCAGGGAAACTGAGTGTAATAGTAGGTTTTTGAAGTGACTCTAAAACACATACCTTTTTGTAAAATGTCATATGAAGCTGGCATTAATGCTTTCTGAAGTCATGTTTGGTAACTGAGTTGCCTTTCTCTGGTGGCAGGATGTGTCTGTGATTTCGGCCAAACTAACAAGTATGCAGAGCAGTCTGGCTATGCTTGTGGATACACCAGATTACTCCGAGAAGTGTGTGCATCTTGAGGCTCTGAAGAACCGACTAGAAGCTATGGCCAGCCCTCAGATTGTTGCTGCTTTTAATTCCCAGTCTGTAGGTCAGTAAGTCTTGGTGTCACTTGGTGCAGAGTTTATTGTCTTTAAAAGTAAGATGTTTTCTGGGTGGGGAGTTGATGTGCTGAAGGCTCCTGGCGCTGGGTTGTGCGCTTTTTCTGGTGGACCCAGATGCTGTGAAATGTTATGTGCTCTGCAGCTGCAGATGTGTTCTCCAGTGCATCTTTGATTTTCCTACAGTTTGGTGTACCTGTGGCCACTATGGGAAATAAGGAAAATATGAGCTGGTTTTATAGGCCATGTAGATGTATGAAATTGAGGTACTGAGGCAGGGCTGCTCTGCTGTCAGTGTTTAGTTACGCCATGAATGCTCTCCAAGTTGGAAGAGCTGCTCAAGTAAGCAGAAAGCCTCTGGTTTTGTGTTATTGTAGTGCCACTGGGCATTTCTGTTACACCTTGGTGTTGTAATCAAGAAGGAAATTTGCTTGGAAACATTCTGACTCCTTACTACCATGTAAAAGCTGTTTTATAAATTCTCCTTTAGAAAATTTGACTTCTTGTACTGCTCTTTTTGTTCCTCCTTTCCTCTCCTACTGTCACAGCACTTCTGAAAAATACTTGTTCTGGTTGTTGCCTCTCATCTGTGTGCACCGTGAGGTCCCAGTGAGAATCTGGGGCTGCTGTGCTTTTGCTGCACAGTGCTCTGGAGTTCTTGTCTATGTAAAGGCAAGGCGCAGCAGTGTGTGACTACAGACGGCTGGAGGGAGCGGAGGAGGGAAGAAGCTCTATGTGCTGTGCTTCTAACAAGTGTGCTTAATCTTTTGCATAGATCTCTCTCTTCTCCCTCCCATTCCTCTTCTGGCTTTTCTTCTTTGCACAGCTTCCTTTTTTCTTGGACTGTGCTCATCACCTTCACAGTAGGTCGGTCCCATGCCTTTTTTCTGCTGTTACAGTGCATTGACCTTTACAGACAAAATCAAGACAAAGGATGACATTTTGGAATATTTTCTCTGCTTAGGATGAAAGTAAATTGAATATTCGTCTGCTCTGTGAGTTCTCCACTAAAGAAAACATATAGGTGCAAGGAAGCTGCTGGCAGCAGGTCTGCTGGTACGAGGTCCTTTGCTTGGGCATACAGTTCAGAATAATTCACTTTAAGCACTGTTTGCATTCTCTTTCAAAATCTGTTCTGGCCATGTGGAGACATGGGCTTTTTTCCCATTGAAGAGAGTTTCTCTGTTACTGTGAAGTCATGTTTTTTCCTGAAGTCCAGCTCCTATAACTGTAATACAAGTCCATAACCATATCCCCAGAGAGTCTGTATTTGGTGACTTCCACAGCTGAAGAGCACTTCAAGTTACTTAGTGTTCTAGTTTATCTGCCTTCTGGGTCCTTTTTAAAAAACAAGGTCTCATTACTAATTTCTCTAACCCCAGATGTATTTTGTGGACAGAACTATAGTCATCCCCCTTACAGTACAAAACGAGCTTTTGATGAACTTGGATTTCAAAGCTTTGAGTAATGGCACCGTTAGCTCTTGCACAGTCTTGAGGCAGCTAGCTTAGGTATCAATTTGAGGAGTTCTGAAAGCAAAGCTGGAGGCTTTGTGAGGTATGTTCTAGTTTTGTAGATAGGGGCTTGCTTCTGGAAAATAATGATTCCCTTCTAGGAAATGCTCTGGTTTTATCTGTCTTTAACCAGCAAATGTATCTAGTATTAAGAAGTTAAATTTAAGAAGTTGCATTAATTCCTCGTGCCTGCTACCTGTTCTTGTTTGAATGTGGGTTTTAGGCAGTTCTGCTCCTATTTGAGAAGATAAGCAAACAAAAGGTGAAAGAGTGTGTCTTTCTATATAGGCCATTGTGCACACTCTCTTAAAAGAAGAATTCTCTTGCTGTTGGACTAATGTCTCACCCTAGGCTTTGAGACTGACTGCTAACTACTTATTATTTTGTTTTGTTTAGATCAGGCAAAAACGTTTGTTAAAGTCTTCACTGAAATTGATCGGATGCCCCAGCTTCTTGCTTATTATTATAAATGCCACAAGGTAAGTATTTTGATAATATTTTAATATGGAGGAATAAAAATTTTAATTCTTGCTTGGCTTGGACTGTAGGGGGAGCTGCTACATCATGTATTTTACCTTTCCTGTTCGGAGGAGGATGGATCCTGTTCTTTTCCATATTTCATTCTCTGACTTCACTTTCTGGCTCTTAACAGCTCTGGTTACTCCCCATGTTTCAAGAGTAATTCTCCATTCAGGACTTTGTGTTTATTCCTGCAACAGACACAGGATATGTGCGTTCTACTTGATTTCTCTGTGTCTTATAGTTTTGCTTTGCTTTTCTTGGATGTGGCTATGTCAGCAATAACTTTATTGCTGCAACTTGGCAGCTGCTGACTTCTGTAAACTCTTTTCAGGTAAGATTAAAAGTTGGAATTCCAGACAGTTCTGTAGCCATAACCTGATCCTCACATTTCTCTCATGACTCTGACTTTTGAGGATTAAGTTCAAGGCTAGGGCTTGCCAAGTATTTGAACTATTATGTGGGGGTATCAGTTACAGTCTCATTTTATGAGTAAAATACCAATGTTAATTAAATCTTTGAATCAACTAAGAAGCCTCTAGCTTCATGCTGAAAGTCTTTTCCTTCTGTGGTGCTGAATTATAGCAAAATGTTATTCTGAAATTGGGAGAGGGGACCAAGGGTAGGCATTGTGCTTTAGCAAAAGTGCTTTGCCTGGTAAGTTCTTGGTTTGAAATAACAAAAGCCAGATCTGTGGACTGTCAGTTCTCTTAGAATCTTCTTATTACCCCTGCAGGTGCAGCTGGTGGCCGTGTGGCAGGATCTTTGCCAAAGTGACTTAAGCTTAAATCGCCAGTTGACTGAACTGTATGACACGCTCCTTGGGACCTGGCACTCACAGCTTCAGTGGGCAGCACAGGTGCAGTGACTGTTTAATTTTGGTGCGGTGTATGGGAGAGGATGAGATTGAGCACACTCTCTTAATTCTCATAAAGCTCAGAATAGTTCATTGGTGCTCACTCTTTGAGTTATACTCTGTGCCTTATCTATGCAAAACAGGGCTTGCAACCTACTTTCTCTTTCTTGTCCAGCTCTTGCAGACAAGATTTGATTTCTGGTGTTCTACCAACAGCAAGGTTGCTGTGTTACTGACATTAAAGCTGCTCTATCACTTTCATCTGTATCTTAAGTTAAATCTAATTTGTTGGTGTTGCAAATGTGTTCTGTTGCAAGACATTTGAAATGCCTGAATTGCTTTATCACTTGGCTTGGAGGAAGCCCTCAAGGTCATGTTGGACTGATTCATGTCACTCTGTGTAAGATATCTGAGGGCTTCTGCTATCACCCCTTGGAGTGTGTGTACTTGTTTTTCCTGCCAATAATAATGTAGGATCCAAAAAAGTTATTGTCCTTTAGTGAAATGAAGAAATAAGTTCATATTGTTGAGCCTGTAAGAGGTTTTTCATCCATGAAGGGTAAGAGATTCTTATCTTCATGTTACAAAGCCTGGTGCAAATGCTAGGCCTGTACTGCAGAGAAGCTCTGTGCTTCCTTGAAATGTATTTTTTCTGCCTAATGATTTGATGTGAATTACAGGTCAGATGTCATATTACATTTTAGCAGATATTCTTTGAACTGGGGATTGTGAGAGAGAAATGGCACATGGGGCAGAGCTCATGTCACTCAGTGTCCTGTGTTGCTTCTGCTTTCTGAAGAATTCTTGGACCTTTTTCATGGTGATCCAAGCTTTCAAAGCAAATGAGTGAGAGTAGCTGACAAGAAAGTCACAATGACAGGCTGTAACACATTTTATGCTAGTAGAATTGAAGGTGGTGCATGTCAATAGAAGTTCTCAGCTGATTATGGTCTTTCTAGCCTTTCCAGTAGTGACTTCTGCCTATCTGACCAGTAATTTGCCTTGTGATATAGTACTATTTCTTCATGTTTTACTGATGTATGTGTTTATTCTCAACACACCTGTGTAAACTGAGTGCTCTGTTTTCAAATGCTCTTTTCTGGCAGGTGGTTTTTCGAATTACTATAGTGCCTGTGTTCCGCTGAATTCAATTTTTGACCTATACCTATTCTCTAGTTTCTTGGTTGCTGTATTCAAAGCACAGTTTCAGCAGTAAATATGTATTGATCTAGACTTACGTAATCAGGCTGTCCTGCATGCTAGGTCAGCGAAGTTCTTGCAGTCTTAGTAGACCTCTTTTGGTTTTGTTACCCCTTGTGAGATTTTTCAAATGTGTTTTTGTTCCCTTTTGGTTGGGAGCACCTGTCATCTGAGGACTCTGCGATCTGTTAGTGCACAAAATGTCATCTTCTTGATCTGTATATCACTGTCTCTCACTAGTAGGTAATTTTATATTAATTCTTTAATAGAAAGAAGCACACACCCAGCACAGTTTTCTGTGCTGGGCATGAAAAAGTCCAGATTGGGCTGCTGCTGCTTTCTTTCCCAACTATTTGCTCCCTGGTTATGGCAGCCTGCCTCTCTGCTGACAGCATTTGCAAACCCATCTGTTCTGCCTCTTCCATCCCTCTGTTTCAGGAGCCCAGGCCTCTGTGGCAAGGGCATAAGGGGGACTACAGTGGGCATGATTGCCCCTGGGAAGTGGAGCTGCTTGTGTGAAGGCTGCTTCTGCCAGCAGGGCAGCAGCACGTGCTCAGGAGGGCTGAAGAAGATATCAGCCCCTGGTCAGACAGGACCTGGTCAGTTTGGAGTGGGACAATCTGTCATTGTCTTTGCTGAGGCAGTGACATGTGGTTTGTACATTGTGGGGCTCTCTCTGGAAGCTATCTGCTGCTCTCTGCTGCCTGTCATGTTCCTCTGAGATAATGTGCTTTTGCTAGTAGCTTTTCTGCTACCACAGGTTTTCAAGAACCCCCATGAAATTGTGACTGTGTTGTTGATTCAAACTCTGGGAGCGTTGGTGCCTTCCATCCCTGTCTGCCTCAGCACTGCCGTGGAAAGAACGGGCCAAAACACCAAGCTGAATAAGCTGCTGGAGCTCTATGATGCCACCATCCACTTCGCAAAAGGGCTGGAAGTAGCAATGCTGCCAAACTTGAGTAAGGCTCTTGCACTGAATTTTGTCATTCCATTCTGTCAACTCCTTTGTTAAGTTCCATTGTGGGATTTTGTTTAGTTTTACGTGGAGGGAGGGATTCTCTCTTCTACAGTATTGACCAGTTAAGTGGCATTTGCACTTTTGTGTGTGTGTGTATGTGTTTATCTTGCACTAAAGATACTGACACAATACTGAATGAGTTTACTGAAACAGACCTGTTCTGAGCATGCTTGGTGTCTAGGGTAAATAATATTTAGCATTTTTCCTTTTACAAGCATTGCTATTTCTTCTGTCTAATGGATGAGGAAATGTCTCTAGGGAGGCTATCTGTGAAACCCATTGTGAAAGATCACAAAGCATAGAAGTTGAAGAGTTTCCTGGAATTAAGTCACACCTTACTAAACAAGAGAAAACCTGCTTGAAAGCTGCATCCATTGGATGCTTAAATTTTATTTTGTAGTTTTTCTGTTGCTATTGGCTTAAGTTTTAATCAAGTAAAAATGCAGGACCAAATACTATTTCTGAACCATTGGTAGTTTGTTCTCTAGCAGCATCCTTGGTGTTTGATTCAAAATCTGACCTGTTCTTTCCTTACCCTCTGATGTTTGTCATCTCATTTTGGTCATAACTTGATGAATAATTCCCACAAACCACAAAGTAGTGAGGTGCTGTGCTTACATAGGTTTATGTCTGACTTGAGCTGTTGGCTATTTATAGTCCTTTATTAATCTGGTAGGGCCCCTTCAAAGATTGGGTATGGGAAATTCCTAAATTAAAGCTAATGGAGCATTCCTAATGCTGTGTTTCCTGTGTTTGGTTCCTCATAACATTGTCTTGAGCTATTTAAACCCAGATTCTTACTTGATCACGTAAATTATGATTACTGGGCAATTTCAGGGAGTATGACTGTCATTGTGTCTGTTTTTGTTGTCTTTGTGATTGCATATTCTTGTCAGTCATTTGCTATCCTTGGCTTAGCTTAATTTGTGGTTTGTGATAGAAATTATTAAAAAGGACTTGGAAGAATTATGTCAAGCTCTAGCAGATGATGGAATAGGAAGACAGCTGCTGAACTGTTATCTGGGTGTGTTTTAAAAAAAAAAAAAAACCAAACCAAAAAAAACCCAAAACTTTATTTCCATCTCTTTTGCTGTGCGGTAAGATGTTTGGGAAGAGAAATATCTCGAGAATGGAAAGGCCAGGTGACTCAGTAGAACGGGATCAAACCTGTACCTACATGTGTGGGAGGACAAGGTTCAGTTATGATTCACAGGATAATTCAGGTTGGAAGGGACCTTGGGAGCTGATGTAGTCCAAAGTCCTGCTCCAGGCAAGGTCCGCTATGAGGTCAGACCACGTTACTCAGGGTATTGTCCAGTCTGATCTTGAAAACATCCAAGCATGGAGATAGCACAGGCTTTGGACAACCTGCTCCATTGCTTGTCTGTCCTTAGGGTGTAGAAGTTTTTTCTTATACCCAGGATTCAAAAATTATGGTTTGCTGCTAGTTTGAGTTTGGCAAAGCTTCACAGTAACAGCTGGTGTCCAGTTCTGATTTGAGAAATAATCATTCAGACCTGTTTTTTGTTTGGGTTTGCAGCTCCCTGCTGAACAGAATGGCACTGAAATGCTAAGTTCATGGTTCACGTTCAGCTTTGGTTGATGAACACCGTAAAGTAGTAGTACTAAGTGAATTGAGTTAGTGTCAATTATTTTAAGTATGAAACAGGCTTTCTGACAAATGAGGATTGCCCCTGTTTTAAGTTGTGGGAGTAATACGTTTCGCTTCTCAAATGGTTTCAGTACTTTCCTTCTACTGTAGGTTGGAATGTTTAATAGTTTTTTGTCACCCAGGCTGTTTTGGAGTAGTGAGTGATTATTTTCTTGAGGCACTTGTTGAGGTAGAACGTCTTGGTTTTAGGAAACAGGTAGAGATAATAACCTTGTGTTTAAAAAAATTTTTTTAAAAATCTGTGTAGTTGAGACTTAAAGCTGTTGGGCAACAGTCCAAGCCTGTGTGGGCAGCATGCTCTAATTGAAGAACTACTGCATATTGCTTAAAACAAGGTTTTTAGTAGCATGTTCATCTATTTGTAGACTAAACATCTGATTCTTTGTAGAGGAGCAGAACCTGGTAAAAGTGATGGAACTGGTGGAAGCGGTGTATGGTCCGTACAAGCCCTATCAACTTGAGTATGGAGACTTGGAAGAAGAAAATCTCCTCATTCAGATCAGTGCAGTGCCATTGGTAATGTAGCAGTCTTTGTTCAACTGCACAGGGAGAGGCTTGAAGCTTCGACTAAGGGTCTATGAGGGTCTTTGTCATAGTTATTGCTCTCTTTCCTCCTCTAATTTTTTTCTGTTTGCAGTATATTTTTTACTGTTAAGTAAATTTTGTTTAAGAAATGAAGTTAATTTCAGCAGCCCTGTCAGGTCGGAGCTAACTCCTTTCTTCTTCTCCTTCACCCAGTAACCAGCACTGTGTGGATCTGCTGGAGAAAGACTTTACAGGTTCAATAGACTTTATTAAGGACAGGATCTGGGGTAGGAAAGTCCTTTTAGTAGAAGATTCTGTTGTTGGCAGAACTGTTTTTCCTTGAAGACGTGGTAAACACAGGATTTGGCAGCCTGACTTTTATTAACTGTCACTGTGCAGGAGGGTGGAAGCAACCAGCATTGTTCTCCCTTAAGTGTTTCACAAGATTGGAGGATACTGAGAGAATGATGTGTTACACAAGGTGTCTTGTCTTTAATGCCTGGACACTCACTGAAAGAAGAGTCAGGCTCAACTTTGTTGTTGTTGTTATTTAGGAGCATTGGGAAGTAATTGACTGTGTCCAGGAACTGAACCATTCAGTCAGCAAACTCTTCATTCTGGCCTCTGGAGCCATCGACAACTGCATTAAACTCACTGATGGACTGGGAGTGTGTGGGCTCCTTAAGGCCCTGAAAGCTCTGTTCACAAAGTAAGGTGCTTTTAGTTACACTGCTGCATTTATCCTAAGGGAGTAGCAAGTATTCCGTTTGTGGCCAAGGACTTTGTAGTTTATCAAAAACGACTGAGAGCGGAAAGTATCTGGAACTGTAATATGAATCATCTGATATCCCTTCCTACCATTTCGGTCAGGCAGTGACTATTTCTTAGGGGAAAAATGGAAGCTTTTTATGGCTAAATCAAAGACTTTTCTCGGCTGTTTTCTGTTTTGGTTGGGCTGAATTTTCATTTTTAATAAATTCTTTTGAAGGGGAAAATGTTTCCCAAAATGAACAAAGACAAATTAGGCTGATGAAAGTGGGTCTCAGTGGGGAAATACGTACTTACTGGGACAGGTGACCTCACATTCAGAATCTACCTGTAAGTGCAGGAAGCCCTAGTGAGTAAGGTTCACTCTAAGTTCTTGTTTTAAAGTTGTCACTGACAGCCCACTTAGATAGTATTCCAGTGCTGATTACCTCCTTATTCTTTCCTGATACCAAAAGAGCTGTTCACAAGGTATAAATCAAACTGTTATCTTGCTGCCCTGTGGAGAAGAAGGAAGAGGAAAACACACTTCTCTGATCTCACTTTCTTTATAGGCAATTTACATAGCAGCCTGCATGCCTCCAGCTTATGGGCCTTATTTAAAACAAAAGTGGGGGGGGGCAGTGTGGAAAACAAAATGTTCTCCTTTTTATCCATGTTCTTATCTGGGGAGTAACTGAGAAAACAAATAAATGAGATTGTTGTCCTGGGCTAAGGGCCAAGTGTTGTTGCAGTAGCAGTAGCCTTATAAACTTTTTCTGATCTTAGTCATACGTTCTCTTGGGAGTGGAGAGATCCTAGTAACCCATGTGCAGCAAATTGAAGTAGCCACACGGTATCTGTTACTCTTGAGTTTCTCCCTGTCTTCCAGTGGAGGCTTGAGTGGGCTGTGGCTGGTCAGTTCTTCACATCCATGTGTTTGGACTGGAACAACAGTGTCTCGTCTGAACTCCTCTTCCTTTAATATTTCTTATTCTTATTTGACCCTTGTAGAGGACTGAATGAGCAAATTGCAGGACATGCAGTTATGCTGCTCTCCAACCTATTCTCTTATGCTGGTGCTTATCTCTTCTCCATTTCTCATTACAGGTATACATCTGACTTTACGAATACATTGCAGTCTATACGAAAGAAATGTAAGCTGGATGATGTCCTATCAGATTCCCTTTTCCAGGAGGACTGGACTGCATTCCAAAACTCTGTCCGGTAAAGGGGATTTTTTTTGCCCAGCTCAGAACTGATTTTTGTATCAAAGATGAAATGGAATTACTCGGGGTCAGTTTACACAAGTTCTTAGTGCAGAATGCAGGGCTATGCCCACTTAGCTGCAGTGCTGCTGGGAACATTAGTGACTGGGTTTCAGGTTGGTGCTGGCACAGTAAGTGCTATGAGGCTCCCCACCCTGTCTGGAGCAAGGCTGCATGTCATATCGCTTGAAATGTCAGCAGCTCTTAGCATTTTCCTGGTGACACTGAGCTGGCCTTAGCCATGATGACAAGAAGTAGCATGTGGATGAGGCTGTTGGGCAAAAAACCTCAGTATGTTATCAAATGGATGCAGAGTTAATAGCCAAATTAATTCTTGACACATGTCCCCTGTGGGCTGTAGTTTGGTTGTTGCATTATATTACTGATTGACATGTGTCTGAGATGGGTTGTCTGGGGAGGGGTCTGGCATTATCTGCCTCAAATCTCACATGTGTTTTTGTCTTGTTCTTTCCTAGGATAATTACTACTTGTGGTGAGCTCCTTCGTCAGTGTGGAGACTTTGAGCAGCAACTGGCCAACAGGTAAGCGTTGCTGAACTTAATTCATGAGCTGTCAACATAGGTACCAAGTTGAAAGAAAACAAACCCCAAGGTGCTTTTGTTGCATAGACCATGGAGGGAAAGCAGCCACTGTGATTTCCCCCCGCTGCCCCTCTCCATCTTTTGAAATGTCAGAGATGGGTTGCAGACTGTTCCACTTAGTTGTGTACCCTGAGACAGTCACAAGAATCCTTTTTCTTGGATACCTGGTTAGCCATCAAATGGACTGCCAGATTGGGGTCAGGAAGGAATTTTCCACCAGATCAAATTGGCAAGATTCTCACTCCCCTTGTGACATGGGGCATGAATCATTTGCTAAAATGAATCTAGGTGTGCCTTAACTGATCAATTCCTTGTAACTTGAGGAGTGTCAAGCACAGGCAACATGTAGATCTTTTGTTGCTTGTCAGCAGTGCACTGTTCAGCCTCTTGTACATTGAAATGCTTTAGTCTGACTTGAGTGCCTGTGCTTTGTATAGGACACAGTGGCCTGCAGTGCACAGGAGGCTGGGTTTGTTTCATATTTGCTAGATGTTCTGAGAGCACAATCCTCTCTTTTTCATCTCAGTATTTTTGCAGTTTTTGAGTTGCACAGTAGATGTGAGAGTTGGCTGTAATTAACATCTGCCACCAGTGAATACTCGCTCCCTTGAAGTAACATAAAGGTAGTGTTGGTCCTTGGACCAACATGAGAGCAACAGTGCTGATTTTTGAGGATTTTGCTGGTGACTTTTGTGTACTTGTTTTCAGGATTTTATCAACTGCTGGGAAGTATCTCTCGGACTCCTACAGCCCTTGTAGTTTTTCTGGCTTTCAGGATACCAGTTCTGCAGAAAAGAAGAGCTCCGTAAAGAATCCCTGGCAGGAGTACAATTATCTTTTGAAGGAGAATCCATCCGAGTATGCCAACCTTATGGAAACACTTTACACTCTAAAGGTAGCTTTGGTGCCTGGGAGAGCCTGCCTCTATCACAGGATGCTGTTGGGCCCACATTTGGTAGATGAGACCTGGATTCCCCCTACAGCCTGATTACATTTTGTCCTGAGCTGCAGCCTTTTGATGGGCTATGTTCCAAGTCTTCCACAGAGACACCGATCCGTGGAGAGATTGAAATGTTCAAACCCAGGAAGTCTGGGCTCATTCCATCTCTCCCCAGATCCTGGCTGTGTTTTGTGAACATGCTCTTATCAGTTCAGGTGAGGGAGATTTTGTCACAGAACGCATTGGGAAGATTGCGTTGGAGCTATCTCAAATTCTGGAGCCTACATACTAGCTTCGCAAGACTTTCTTTGCCACTTATGCTCTGCTGCCATATCCATTCTGAAATATAATTATGCAAGATCATTCATGCATGCATCTGTGAACAGGGTAGAACGACTCTAGTTATCTTCTTGTGGATCTAAGTTATGTTTGCCATCATCAGTCACATGTAGTAGTGAAGTCAAGGTTATGAGTTCTGTCTCTTATTTCCTTAGAATGTTTTGATTTCTTTTGCACTTAATTTACCTGCAACTTGTGCAGCTCTGCCTTCAGTGTTAAATGTTTGACTTTAAACCTTTGCTAAATAGTCAGATTCCCTAGGTACACTTCACATAAAATTTTTGCTTAATTCCATGCAGGGAATCAGTTAGTTGTGCCCTCTGAGTAAAAGGCAGTTTTGCCATCTTCTCTGCAAGTTTCCCAGTATCTAGCCTATACTGGTGCCTGGCATGGCTGGAATGTGATGCTGATTATTCGTTTTATGTTTCAGGGAACAGTGCACAGTTTCTGTCTTGAATAACTGGTTGGAATAGGGCATCCCAAAGAAAATAAACTGTGCCATTGCAGAGGAGGGCTCTTTTGTATTAGGATGGCCCAATAAATACCGCTTTAAGAATGTTAACATAGCTCCTCTGTGGTCAGCATAATGACTTCCATAAGTAAACATTTTTCTGTGCCTCTGTGTGTGTGTTAGGAAAAAGGTACGAGTAACCACAACCTGTTGTCTTCATCGCGATCTGCCCTAAGCCGCCTCAACCAGCTGGCACACCACTTGGCTTTTGATTCTGTTTTTCTTCGCATCAAACAACAACTCTTACTCATTTCAAAGATGGAGGTGAGTAATGGGTATATTGATCTGATCTGAACTGGCAAGGTTTACCCTTGGGATACCTTATAGTGGAGTACAGCTGATTGTTGCTTACCTTCCTCCTTTTCAGAATGTTTCCCTCTGGTATCACATTTCTTCCATGAGCTACAGTCAGTGGAAAAGTTCATCTCCTTGCATCCACAGCATTTGCGACAGACAGCTATGTTTGCAAGCTCTGATGTTTGTTTGAGATGCTTTTCTAACCTGTGTGAGCATGTATTTCCCACAGGGAGCTGTGTGGAAAGGTTGTGTATGTTTTGGGCCTGAGGGAGGACAAGGGAAACAGTTTTCTCGCCATCTATGTTCTGCTCTCGAGAAGTCCTTGGGTAGTCACAGTTCATGTCACTGGGCAACCGCTTCCTAGAACACTGATAGGCTTCATGCTCCAGGAAGTCATAGATTCATTCTGTACTTTTTGCCCTACAGGGTTGGAATTCTGGTGGCATTGGTGAGACCCTGACAGATGACCTGCCAAACTTCAGCCTGACTCCTCTGGAATACATCAGCAATGTAAGAGCATGCAAGGGTAGTTACTGGAAGCCCAGTGCTCTTCTGTTTCCCCAATTTTTTGTAAAATCTTAGTATTTGTTAAAGTTGTTATATGATGGTGATAGATGCTCTCAGTGGTCCAGCCCTCATCAGTTGGGTTGTGCCATTCATTGTAGCTTTTATGAAATCCCTGTCAAGTTCTGGAATAGCAAAAGAATGTCAGGAGCACAAGGAGAGGTTCCTCCCTAGTGAACTGGGCTGTTTACAGTGTTAACTCTTGTAATGGGATGGAAAATGCCAACTTTTGTTTCTAGTGGTGAATACTGAGTGTATCTTCATAATGCAGCTCATGTAGCAGAGAAGTTTCTGCAATGTGTATTGGAGTGATTTAATCACACTATGAAGTTAAAACAAGTCTTGAGCTCTTACCCTTCTAATCCCCATGTGACTCCCTGGTTTCTCTTTCTGATGGAATAACAATGAAACCTTTCTGGCAGTGAGGTGTCTGAGTGGAAAAGGAGAGTGAGCTGTTCATTCTTTCTGACTAGGCACTCCTCAGTTTGGAACAGCATTCAAATTGCTCTCCCATTCTCTTGGTTGGTGTTTCAAGTTGCTGCCACATTTGCAGTTCAGATATTAATATTAGCTGCTATTACTATTTCAATGCAAAGTATAATTTGATAAGCAAGTTTTTTTATGTTACTACCATTCTGTGCATCACACAGGGAATGGATTTTTCAAGGACAGGCTGCAGCCAAAAGCTTTTGATATTTTGGTTTCCTCTGGCTTATGGCCTACAAACTTACATTCTGCTTTTAAAGCTTTAAAAAAAAAAAAAAAAAAAGAGAGGAATGTATAGAAATGGGTAGTCAGTGGCAGAATTTTATCATGGGTAGTTTGAATTTAGCTATCTGAGAGACTTTTATGCGGTTTAGAAAGCTCATGGGCAGTGTATAAGGTGAAACTTCAAGGGAAGGTTGCTACTGAATTCTCAGTAGCTTTCTAATTAACACAGGTCACAGAGAGAGACGTGCATGGGTGGTAAGAGGCTGAATCTGCTCACCTGCCACTTTAACTGAAAGTTAAACTGAGATGTGTATGATCATTACTCAATTCTGTGAGGAATCAAAAGACATTTCTGCCTGTCCAAGGCACAGAGGAACTTCAGAAAATTTCAGATACAAAGCATTTGTTTTCTGACATCTTTTCAGATCTACCATTTATCCTGCTGCTGAGTAATAGTAATAGGTGGGCCAAGACCGAGCCAGATTCTCTCTCTCGGGTAGTCTTGAGATAACACTGCTGCACTGTGCAGTAAAATTGACAACTGGAAAAACTAGCATAGAGTTTAGAAACAAATTGATGTGGCATATGTGCTGTGAAGAGATAAGAAGATGTGAAGATAAGAGATAAGAAGAGATGTGAAGAGATAAGAAAAGGCAGGTGTTGTGAGCTCAGGAAAAAGCTGTTAATGAGCATGCTCCATAATGGGGAGGCAGAGTACTCTGAATTGTATCTGCACCTAGGAAAATTCTCTGAAGCAGCAGATAATAATTTATAAACAGTGCAGTATTTGTTGTATGCCTGAAGTTATATAGCTCATGTGTGCGAATTTGTGAGCATGGTCCCTTTTGGGGAGTGATACATTTCTGTAATTCATTATTATATTGTCACTTGAATATGTGTTTCTTCTCCAGCGGTTTTGTTTGGTTCAGTCTCTTGGATTCTGCTCTAGAAAACAAATTGCCAGGAACACTCCAGAGATCAAAGATTTGCTTGGAGTAACAGTTCTCTGTACAGGTTTTTCTTAACATCGTTTCAACGACTGGTTCTCTGACCTTGTGAAAAATTATTTCTTTTACAAAGTGTAATGATGAGCAAGACCCAATTTGTTTCTGAGCAAATGTAGTTTAGTGAGTTGCTGTCATGCTCAGCTTTCTGCTTTCAGGTGTGGATTACTGCAGTTGACTTTTTTTCTCTAGCAAAGTACTTGCTTCACATTTGTTCAGTGACTCAGCTCTTTGTGCTTTTATTCTAGATTGGGCAATATATTATGTCACTTCCTCTCCACCTTGAGCCATTTGTCACTCAGGAGGATTCTGCTTTGGAACTGGCATTACATGCTGGAAAACTGCCTTACCCCCCAGAACAAGGTAGGATGAAACCAAAGACTTGAAGTGTCTGCAGGAAAGTTTTCACTTTTTGACGTTACATGGGTGTGATGTGTTATGGTAACATAGCTATTTGAGACCCATTTCCTATTGTCTAGTCATGCTGTTTCTTCCAAGAGTCTCTTAGTAATATGCAGGAGGAGCCTCTAAATAATGAGTAAAACTTTTTCAGGTCTGTTCAAACCAGAAGCTTTAGCTTGGTCGATTTAAGTTTAGTGTTCATTAAAACTGTGGTTTGGGTGCAGGGTCTGAAGTATTACTGTTTCAGAGCTGGAGCAGTATTTAATATCCTAGGTGCAGGGAGTGAACAGGAGGTACTTGGGGTCAGTTCCCAAACTCTGAGGGGAACCATTGAACCATCTAGCCTGAAAGACTTCTCAAGTTAGCTTTTGTAGCTTCTGCTCTTTATCAGGCTGTCCACTAGGACTGTGTAACAGCTTGCTGAAGGGGGGAGTCTTGCTCCAGCTTTGCACTCCTGCCCTCTCCTTTGTGCTGGTTCCACCGTAGCACCATTTCCATTCATTAAGCCCACAGAAAGGTATTCACTTTTTTCTGGCCTAGATTCTCTCAAAAATGTGTCAATAAAGTGATTTAAATCAACTTCCTAAGAGGTCTGCTATGCAACAGAGCTGGCAGGAGTGCACAGCAAGGAATAAGCAAAGAGGAAGCTTGTGACCATGTTTAGAAGTGGTGAGTTGTTAGGTTGGCTGACCCTCTCATGAAATGTCCCCATCTACTGAAGAAAACAAGCCTGCGCTGGTGATGATACAGTGTATTCTTATCCCCAGACAGCATCTAAGCTGGGATTCTTGTAACAACTGCTGCCAGGAGCTAACCTGGTATGAAGCTTTCCATCTTCAGACTCTAGTGAAATCTGGAGAGAATGTCCCGTAAGCTTAATTGTACACTAGTCACTTGTAGTATAAAATATGCAGTTCTCTATAGCCTTGCTTGAGAACCACAGCCCCTGAAGTTGTTGCTAGAAAAAGAGGAGCCCCTGAGCTCCTTTCTTCAGGAATAGATATTTGTTCTCAAGCAGGATAGTAATGCTGTTTACTTGTAAACAACTTTTTTCTCTGCCTCTTTTCTCTGTAAATCCAGGAAAAAATACTGTTACACCCTGTGTGACAAGCTAACCTGTGCTCATCTGTTACAAACGTTAGGAGCCCATGGTCAGAAACTGGTCTGCTGTCTGTCTTGTTTTGGACAGGTTCTGCATCTTTGGGAATTTCTTTTCTTAAGGGTCCAACCATGTGTTCTAGTCCCCATAGTCAGGTTCTTGCTCAGTAAGGACACAATTCTGGAATGCTGACCACTTCATTTAAATTCCTTTTTCATCCTATATTAACTCCAGCTGAAAAATCATTAGAGCTCCACTGCTCCTTCCAGTGCCACCTGAGTCTCTAGTGATTAGATGCCAGCCACAATGATTAAACTCCCCGTGCTGAAGAAGTTCAGTGGGTGCTGTGGGTGGCTGCTGTTTGAGACAGCTATGGCCCAGGCGCCTCTTCAAAACTTTATCCCCAGAATGCACCAAGGAGTTCTTTCTGCCTGTCATTCCTTAATTTCTTGCAGGAAGCCGAGTTTTGGCTCGCATTCGTTCTTCACATGGCTGTCCTTACCTGTTGTGTCATTAATCCTGCTGCAGTTAACAACAGTAACTACGTAATGCTTCACAGCAGATTGGCAGCGCGCCATGGTGTGCTGTGGTTAATATCTTCTCAGTATTTATTTCCACTGATAATCAAGGAAGCATAGAGCTTGGTATTTATAGTCTTCCTGTAGCCTTCTGAGAATATGCTCTTTAGTTCAGGTTTTTGCGTTACTTTTGTCATCTTAAAGCATTTACATATTTAATAGCTTGTTAATTTTCAAAACACTGATGAACACGGGATGCCTTTAGGACTTGAAAAAAGCCCCTGTCATTGCAGTAGTTTGTAAACTACTCCTGGAAGATGATCCTCTAGAACATGCCAGGCAGTGCCCCTGATCCCAGCCTGATCACCTGTCAGCCCTTCAGAAATGACTTACCTGGAGAAGTAATAGAGGGAAGTAAAGTGTTTTGGGTCTTGAGCTAACTTTCAATGTTGTATAGTATCAGGGAGGATATGTAACTGCTTTGATTACTCCAAAAACAGCTGATAAACTCTGAATATCTTAATGTCCTGTTGAAGAAACAGTTAACCATTTATGAATTACATTTGTTTTACAAAACCAGCAAATGCAGGTGAGTGAGACTGCTGACAGCTAATGAGAATTTTCTGTCCAGGAGATGAATTACCTGAGCTGGACAACATGGCTGACTACTGGCTGGGCTCCATTGCCAGAGCTACAATGCAAACTTACTGCGAAGTTATCCTGCAAATACCAGAGCTCACAGTACATTCGACAAAGCAGCTTGCCACCGACATTGGTAAGCTCAGTGCATACGTTGTCCTGATAACTGTTGCCATAACACATGGGCTGCTCTGTCATTACATTAGATTTGAAGAAACTGTGGTGTGGGTTTCTCCTTTAATCGTGAGCATGTTGATCTGATACCTGGCATGGTGGAGTGGTTCACAGCTTCTCTTTTGCAAAGTGGTCTGTCACATCCCTCTTTGAGGAAAGGATGATGTTCCAGTAGATACTCCTGCTTCTTCACTGCTTTGTGTTTCTGACTGTGGAAGTCAAAGTCCTTCTGAACTGTGAGGAGTCCCTTACAAGCCAGTCTTAGCAAGAAAGATGTGTGTATATAATCTATTCAAGTGTGGCACTGCTCTTTCCCCTCTCATGGGAGTGCTGTGTACTGCCAGTATATGCCATATAGGGGGTACGCAGCATGTGTCAAGCCTTTTGGGAAGTGCTCCAGTGGATTATGAAGGGGACAGCTGGTTGATTTCTTCCATTCGCTTGATAGCTGAAGTAGGGAAGGTCAGCTAAAGGCCTTCTAAAAGTTGTTGTGGAGCGCTTGACCAGCATCCTCTTTTTTACAGAACCTATAGGACCAGCTCCCCTGCCATGGTTAACTTATTGCCCTGCTGCTCTGAAGGTGCTAGATGACTAAATTACTTTCAACATGAAGAAATTTTCAGCATCAAAGTGGGAGATAGTTGGCACATGTTGTTCATTTCTTCCTTCTACTATGCCAGGCAGGGTGACTGAGGGAGGACTGATGGAAGGTGTTGGGGAAAGCGTTTCTGCAGCATATGGAGGAGATGGGTTTTTCTTATCCGAAGCCGATGGAAGTGTTACCTCGAGACCACTACAGCTATTGTAAATGCCAGTTTGTCTTGTCTTTGCTGTAAATCATGGATGCTGACTTCCCCATGGCCAAGCTCAAAAATAAGGATGCAGACAATATCTCCTCAGCTCACCTGATCTCCTCAGCTCACCTGAAAGTAGGCTTCAATGCCAGTGAACTCAGCCTGAATACTTTTTTTTTTTTTTTTTTTTTTGGCATTGCTTAAAAACGAACCAGTGGATTAGAGGCTGGTTGCTTGGCATTCTCCCTGCCATCCTTAATTCCCCAGCTGACTTTGAATCAGTGAGCTGGAACTCTCTCCTGCCTTGACAGCCATTCACTTCTGCAGAACTTCCCAGCTTTGTTGCAAGCTCTTTGCCTTTGAAGGTGTGCTTGTGATCCTTTATCTGTGACCCTGGTGACTGACCACCCCGAGGGTGTTGTGAGCAGATACTGAAACGTGGTGGAATGTGTCTCAGTCCTCTGAACAAAACAAATGGTTGTCTAAACTAGTGTACAGGAAGCCAAAAATACACACCAGTCAGTACAGTTAGATTCCAAACACACTGCCGTTTTCTGTGGTTTGGACCTATCAGTGACAGGATTCTAGCTGTCGTGAAGAACAAAGGATAACTTTCATTAGCACACTGTCTGGTACCCGTTCAAATACATGTTTATCCTTAATCTTACAGATTATCTCATAAACGTGATGGATGCCCTCGGCCTTCAGCCATCAAGAACACTGCAAAATATTGTAACTCTGTTGAAGGCAAAACCAGAGGACTACCGGCAAGCTGCAAAAAGTGTGCCCCGCAGAATGGCCAGCAGCATCGGTGCAATGAGAGGCCTGGAGTGTTAGCTGTAATGTCCCTGCTGCTGGACACTGTTCAAGGGCTGAACTGTTTGGGTTGATTTTATTTCCCTATAAACTTTGCAAGAACAGTGAAAATATCTCTGGGGATTAGGGCAATTTATTTCTGAATATCTTTTAATAAATGTCTTTGTCTAGGAAAAGCTTGCTCCATTTTTCCATCCTTAGAAATAAGGAAAGATGTCCTACAGCCTAATTTACCAAGAACTGTCTGGATGACCTTGAGTAGACTGAGCAGTGCTGGCTTCTGACTAGAAATGTTCTGCCGGTTACTGGAGAGTTCATGCTTCATGGCGGTGAGATGACTGGCTTTTTCAGAAAATTTAATCAATTCTGAATCTAAAATTATGGGGTAGGTGCAACAAAGATTGACTGATTGGAAGCTTTTCTACCTGGGGGCAATCATCATTGCTCAACTCTGTCATTATTCACAAAGTGAGGAAGACAGTCTCATCAATTAGTAGATGAGGCATGATCAAGCTCAACCCTGAGAATAAAACCTGTTTTGTAGGTTGTTCCTTGTGTGATTAATGTATTCTACTGAAAGCTATGGAGTTTATAAGAAATTTAATGAAAGTGTTGCTTTCTTGTAAAATTTATTAAAGCCTGGTATATAGATCTTTGTAAAACAACTCATCTAGCCTAAGTGTGCTTCCAACACTCCCACAGCTTTTTTTCTTAGGAGAAAACTGGATGGAATACAGAGTCCCAAAATTGGAATGCCAGCTGTGTCAGATGCTGCTGGGTAACATCCCACATGCACACTCTTCTGATTTGGAGAGGAAAAACCATCTTTCTTCCCCTTATCTGTATCTACTTCTGCAGTTTTCTCCATTTTACCGCCAGATGCCTTGGGGGAATAATTCTTTTCCCAGTGTCCATGTCTTTGTCTCTTCTTTCCTTAACTTGGTTCAGGCTGCTCTAATCCATGTTTAGCTTGGTCCACAAATCTTTCTGCTGTCTTTGCTTTTTGTCTGGCTTTCTTTTTCTCTGACAACCTCTGTCTTTTGGACAGCTGTCATTTCTTGTCCCAGTGTTGCTGCATTTGTGGTTCTCCTTTTGGGACTCATTAGCCTGGTATGTTCTCCCCTGGGTGGCTGTGCGTGTAGCTGCCACGGCTGCCAAAGCTCTCTCTCCTCTGGGCACACATGTAATGTGCTGATACAGGCTTATATTTTACCAGCGGTGTATTTTTTCAGTGAATTTGGATTCCTTTGCTGTTCTCAGCTGGACTTTGATGATGTTTCACTGCCAAAACTGCAGTTTGGGGAGGTAAGGAGAGCAGAGGTGCTTTATAAACAGTTTTGGGGTTTTACGAATTTTGGCACCTAAAAGAATTTCAGAGCAGGGAAATAAAATGTGTTTACTGGATTATTTTTTTTTCTTGGCAAGGTTTTCAGTTAGATATTTCCTCTTTTGTTTCAGAGTATGAAAAGTCTATTAAAAGATCCCCAAATGAATTGGAAATTTGCTACTGTATTGAGTTGGGACTTCTCAGGTGTCTCGTTTGGCTGTGATTTGTAAAGCCTTTCCTCTGGAGAGCTTTGTGCCTGGTCCTGTGCAGTGCTCAGCTGAGTCTTCCAGCAGCTGCATTGCTGCTGCAGCAAGAAAAAAACCCCTTTGCGCACATATGCTTATCTGCAATCAGTTCATTTGGAGGAGAGAGCCAAGCTGGTAAAGAGCTGAAGTCAAGTACCTGAGACACTTTCCACTTCTATTAGTCATCAGACGCCCTCTATAAACCAGCAGTAACTGGAATAGTAAACTGTCCATGTCCTGCCAAAGAACATGCTGTTCCACTTTACCCTTGATGTGAGACGGGTGAATCTCACTGTACCTCTCCCATCCTTCTGCCTTGTCACTAGAGGATGAGGATTTTTGAGGCTGTGCTTTGCCTGCTGTTACTGCTTTTCACAGGGCAAGTGGTACTGGGGGAGTACCTGGCTGGGGCTAAAGGTGTGAGGAGCTGGAGGGTGCAGACTGCCCTGCCAGCTCCGCAGCCCGAGACCTGCTGCCCACCTCAGGATGCCAGCAGCCGAGGTGCTGCGTTTCAAAGTGCCATGGAGAGGGCTAGCGTGGGAAAACAGCTCTGCATTCCCCCTCTCTCTGCAGCCCATCTCATTGCAGTGAGCTCCTTGTAGATACTGCCATTTCACCAGCACAAGGAGCAGGCTCAGGGCGATTGTTTTGCCCTACAGAAAAGCATCTGATGTCCCTTTGCCATATCTTTATGTTTGAACAGCTATTTGGATTTCCACACGACTGGACTTAGTGGAAGTGATGTTGACAGTGTTGGTGAGAGCGTGGGAATAGATGCCCCGGTTCTTGTTCTCAGCTTTCATAGTGTTTTAAGCAAATTGCTCTATTGGATTTTTTTGGAGGGAGCAGTGTCTTTTCACTGTTGCAAAATCGTTTGGAGGTCTTTGTCATGTATTGGCTTGTGTGCACGCACTGAACGCTGAATGGGTGTCAGGTGCTTGTTTCCAGCTTGGCTGTGATGTGGGATGAAGTGCTGTCACTTTACAAGAACTCTTCTTTTTGGTGACAGAGGCTGTATGGTGCTCAGGGAGGGAAGCATCCCTTTAGGGAGAAGGGAAATGAGGAGTCAGGTGGGAAAAGTCTAGGATAACTTGTAAGAGCTGGATTCTTCTGTCTTTACAAGTGTCTAACTGCCTTTTGTCTGCCCTGTCACTGCTCTGGTTGGTTTTACATGCTCGCTGAGCTCACGCCATACCCGGGGTTAGATGGCTTCCTCACAGACCAGTGTGTTCATCGGCTGTTGGTTGTTCGCTCTTGCAAACAAGAACCAGCTGATGGATAAGGGGCTGGGGGCAGCATGTGGGCTTGTTAAGAAGGTGCTCCCTGAATCTGGATTTTTGTTCCTTATATCTTTTAATTCAAGTATTCTCTGGCTGCAGATGACTGTAAATTACCCCTATTTTCCCACTTCTCATCCCGATCAAGATCAGAGGCAGGTATGGTTGCTCACCAGCCCAGGAAGGCTGATGGTGAGGGATAAATTCTGTGTGTTGAGTCCTCGCTTAACTGTTCCAGTTCAGGAGGAATCTGGTGCTGAAGGATGAAAGTGTCATGTCCCTCTTCTCCTAGTGAAGTGTAGCAAGTCTGTTGTTTGCTTAATGTATAAAAGATAGTCATATGTCATTTCTGAGGCAAAACTTCTGGAGGAATTTTTCCAAATGCTAAAAGGCCTTTAAAGCACTAGTTGGTGGAATGAGTAGGAAGTTCTGCAAATGAAACTGCTCTGCAAAGTGGCATAGCGTCAGCTTCTAAGTAACCTCCTTCTCTCCTGATTTTCAAGCTGTGGCAACTAAAACAAATGCAGCCTCCAGCTCAGGAGGTCCATGAACCGTGGGCTGCCAGGAGGGTGAACCCAAGGAAAGGCTGTTCCGCATGTGCCCCTGGTGCAGGTTTTTCCTGTTACATCGGTGTCTGGGCACTGTCAGAATCAAAAGCCTCGGCCAGGTGGGTTGCTGAAGTACTGATGAAGAAGCAATGGTGAAACCTTTGCATGGTTTCTAAATTGGCTCTAATGTCTGACTCTGTAGGATTTGTTAACTTACCCATTTCTGAGTGTCCCACACATGTTGAGCGAGAGGTGGCGGGACTCCAGTCACTGAGCTGAAACCCAGGAGGATGTGAAGGAGCACACCACAGATACACACCAAACTCTCCTGATCCTCACCCTTCTTTCTCAACAGCAGAAAACCCAAACAGGCTGAGCATGTGATTTCTAAAGCCATTTCATTGTTTAAGAATCTGAATTTAATTTTAAAAAAGTGGTTAAGCTTCTTGTTCTTACCATCACCAAGTGAAATTGGAAAATGTCTGTAAAAATTCAGGTATCAGAAGTAATAGAAAATCAAAACTTTATTTTAAGTTGCCCTTACTTTTGGAGCTAATCATAAAATTTAAAAAATTCATTAATCAAGTCTTATGAAATTAAGACTGCAGGTATTCTACGCATTATTATCTTGTAACTGTACAGCAGCAGCATTAGACCAGCTGTACACCAGTAATTAAGGGTTTGACTTTTTCAATGAATTTTGAACACAGAATTTCCCCCGTGTGCCAGCAGCATCTCACCCGGCAGATCGTCCCCCAGTTCCTTGGTCCTGCTGGTGGTGGTCATCAGCAACGAGACCCACCACTTCCATCACCGCTGAGGGGAGATGGAGAGACCCTCAGCAAGCTCTGCGCAGGCAGCTCTGCACCCAGAGCACCCTGTGCTTGCGGAGCTTCAAGCAGAGAAGGACCGTGGACCCCCCTCACCGCCACAGCTGCCCCCACCTCCCTGCGCTCGCACTGTGCTGGGCGCTGTGCCCAGAACATCGGGTTCCCAGTCGCGTGATTTAACTAGATGATCGTGTTTCCTCTTAAAGTTTTGCAAAAGTACTTCAGTAAGGCAGGTTCTGGTGGGTTGTGATGGGCTTCTGGGAAAGCCGGGGGCAGGGGCCAGGCAAACTCGCTGCCCCACTCAGCCCACCCCCATGGGGACCACCCAACCCCCCGGCCACCCTCACATCAGGGTGAGCCCAGCACCCCCTCTTCTTGCAGGGTGCTGCCATCAGCCTTTTGCCAGCACTGAACTGTACCCACTGCCAACGGGAAACTTAAAGGCAACTTTTAAATTAATTTATTTATTGCGAAGAGAGGTACTGTTAAATGGCTGGCACTTCCTCCCCACACCTGAATCTTTCTGGAGGCTGGAGTGTTTATCTCCGACACACGTTAACAGCCGTCCCCACCTGCGGCGTAAGCGTTAACAAGCCCTGAGCAGCAAACACAAACAGAGCACTCGCAGGCTCCAGAAGCAAAGGGAATGTTTTTCTTTCACTCTGTTTCCGTTGTAGTTGTTTAGCAGTGGAAATACTGCAACCTCAGAAGTCAAAAGTAGCTTGGGTCCCAACCCGAGGGTCCGACCCATGATGCAGCACAGCTGCAGCACACAGGGTGCCATGTCTCAGCATCCCCCAGGCCACGGCCATGCATCCACCGTCGGGACGTCCTGGCCTCCCCCCAGCACCCCCTGCCTCACCACTCCCTGCCAGCGCTGCCGCAGCCCTGCCTTGTCCCCCGGCTGCAGCCCTCCAGGGCTGCCACCACCCCGCTCTTCTCATGAGGACGTGCTTCCCACCCACGTGTTAAAAAGAAACGGCGACTTATGATTATATAGCAATACCGATGTATACAAGCCAGAGCCTGAACGCCAACTCTATAAGGTTTATTAGCCAGAGCTCCTTCACAGTGAACCGTCAGGGAGGGGAGCACAGCCAGGGCTTTTTAGTTCCTCCCTAATTTCGATAAAGAGTAGGAGATTGCTCAGCAAGTGACAAACTGAGCACGGTGATGGCAGCTTGCCATCAGGAGGTGCCGGGGCGTGCTGCTCACTCAGTTTCTGCGTCGCTGTCAGGACCGAGGACGTCGAGGGGCTGCACGCGCAGCGAGTCGTAGTTGGGCGGGGGGGTGCCGGGCTCGGGGGGCAGCGCCTCGTCCCTGGGGAGGGCACCCGCGTCCTCGTGCTGGAAGCCCAGGTTGGTGTGAGCCTCCACCAGCTCCGACACCGTCGGGGGCGCGTCCGGGTACCGTGCCTGCGCCCGCTTCTGCTTCAGGCCTTTGCACCAGCTGATCACGTTAATGACGGTGATCCACAGTGAGTCGATGATGATTTCCCCGAACTCGATGAGGCACAGCACCGAGCCCCCCATCCAGAACCCGAACTGGCCTCCCAGGCTCGACAGCAGCCAAACGATCTGTGGGGAGGGGAGCAGAGCGAGCTGAGGCGGCGGACCCCCGTCCCTCATCAGCTCCCGCCGATCACCCCATGTGCTGTGCCGAGTGGCTGATGCCGCTGCCCCTCCTGCCCCCAGGACCTGCCTGCCGAGTCCCTCGCCTTGCGGGTGCTGCCCTGGAGGGGCTGCGCTCCCCGGTGCTGCGTCCCAGTGCCCTGCCCCGCACTGGCAACTGGGACGGGAGGTGGAGAGTAGGAATGAACCGGGGGCTGCAAACTGGACAGCGGAGGCGGCTTTGTCCGCTTCCTCGCAGCGGATGGGTGAAGCGGCAGCACCGAAGGACTCGGCAGACTATCCCGGTGAGGAACATCTCTGGACAGGGCTGATCAGCCCTGAGGAGCCGAGCCCTGCCTGTGCATCCAGGGTGGCTTGTTTCTGCGTCCACTCGCAGCACGTTGCGGCACCGGGCAGAAGGGCAGGGATGGGCACTCACCGTTGTGGCAGCAGACTCTGAGATGGTGCGGTAGTTGTACTCCTGGAAGTAAATGTTCAGCTTGATGATCCCATTTCTGTAAGGGACAAACAGCAGCTCAGCGCAGAGCCGGGCTGTGGGCATCCCGTGTCTCTGCTCCAACGCCTGCCCACGGGAAGGGCTGCGCGCAGCCTGCCCGGAGCTGCTCACGAGTGCCCACTGAAACTTCTGTCTGGCACATGGAAGAAGTTAAAAAGTGCCACTGACTGCGAAGGGAAGAGACACGGTTCTGAAGTTCCTCCTGAAGAAGTGCTTGGGTATCTGGAAGCTTCTCTGGGGCTGTTTGCTTTGTTTTTCCCAACTGCCCTGGTTGGTCTAGAGGGGCCATTGCCCCTCTTCAATGCCCTGCACCTCATGTTCCTCTGCATGGACAGAGCGGCTGCATCACGATGGACCGTGTTACAGGGGGCTTAATGTGTACAGATCAGCCAATAGCTGTGAAACTATTTCTTGCTTCTCTCAGTTTTTTTTTCCTTGAGGGAAAACCCCTCCTCTTTTCCCCCTAATTCAGGGTTTAGGTTCTCAAAGGGTAACTTACCAGTTACCCTAATTTTGGTGCATCCCCCTTACTGCTGCTGCTGTTGGCAGATTCAGATGTAAGTATAAAGGGATGAATGTTACGATTCAGGAGCTGGGCCCAGGCAATTCACAGCTTCAGAGCTTCCAGACTCCTACATGCAACTGATTAGAGGTGCTGCTGTTAATGCTGATTTTAAGTTAACTGTACGTTTGAGTTTCTCTGACCCAATTTGTCATTATGGAGAGTAAAGGATATGCATGAAGTACGTTTCAGATTTGCTTTATGTATCTTCCAGGCAAACACGTGCCAAATCTTGTCCTCCCTTTCCATTAGCACATGTGTGCTCTGGCCCATCGCCAAGGTTCATGTTAATCTAATGTTAACAGGCTCAAAAGAGAAGATAAAGTGGTTGTTCCTTTCACTTACCTGTCCAGAGTCACATTTGTTGACATATCTCTTTCATAAGACAGAATATGGAAAATCCAGTCCTAGGAAAACAAAATTTATTGAGAACTGAGCAGAAGCATCCTCACTGGGCACCTGCTAGGGCAGGAACCCATGGGAGTCACATAGTCCTGACTAGTCCTGTTTTAATCCAGCTCTATTGGATTAAAAGCATGGGAAAATACCGAGTAATGTGTTCAACTAGTGTCATCCACCCCAATCCCACTCTGTGGTTATTTGGGGGTTACAGCATCTCCCCACCCTGCCTCAACCAGGTCTGACATTGCATTCATGGATGATGTCAAGTGTCCATTGGGGCTGCAGGTGCACTTTGCTTCAATGGTGCGAGTCTGTAAGTCACTGGTTTGGTGTGCTTCTAGCAAGGCAACGGCAGTTACCAGGAGCTTGGGACAGGAGGCGACGCCTGTTTACCCATCCATAGCTCCTATGTTTGGCAAGTTGTAGATGCCTTTGCTCAAGTGCACTTTTGCTATGGCTGCACTCGTGCTGCGATAGCCAAGTTATGCTGGCTGCAGCTTTACCGATTCAGGATTAAATATTACTATTATAAAAATAAAGTTCTTCTGTAGGAGATACGTGCAAAGTCCTTGGCAGCCACATGCTAGGATAAATTGGATGTGCGTTGGAAATCTCCTTTGAAATCGATTCTAACCAATGCAGTCATGAGACATCCCATACTTAGCAGGGTATGGCTTGGGGATGCTGCCTGCGTGGAGGAAGATGCTGTACGTTCATCTGTGATGCTGTGGGAATACTACACAATGGAGAGTCATCTGGAGAGAACAGTCATGCAAGCAAAGGCCTGCAGTGTACGTGGGTACCGAGAGGTAGGGCTGCACACTTAGTTTGACGCTGGCTAGTCTTTAGCATGTAATGCCTGATCCAAACGGAGTATTCATTTCTCCTTAGGGAGCCCATGAGATGTTATCTCATCCTTCTGCCTCAGCCTACCCTCACACTGTACAAAGGGTGCTCTAGTTTTGGGTGTCCTGAAACAGCATGAAATCCTGGTCCTGTGTTCTGTCCCAGGCAGCCTCCAGCCCCCCGGTAAGCGGGTGAAGCAAGTGTGCTGCAGACCTGAACCAGTGCTCGGGGAGGAGGAGCTGCCATGGGGGAGTCCCTCCTCCGGGCACGTGCCCCAGTGCTGCTGCTTGTTTGCATGCTGAAAATGTGTAATTTAGCAAAGAGGCACTTGCTACCTGGACATTAGCTCTGAAAATACCTAGTGATTCATGTGGCTAAGAACAGGTAATTATTAATGTATGTTTCAAAACAAGAAATCAGTGTTACCTCTGAAGCTTCAGAGGGCCAGTCTGCCATGGAGATGGTCATCTTATACTGCGTGTCGCTGGAGAGAGGAAAGGAGAGCATTAGTACAGAGGATCCGGCTTCTCTGAAGTCACTGGAACTTCAGGTGTCATGCAGAAAAGCAGCCCCGTGTGATTTGCTGCCATTTTAGAAAGGTCAGAATTGATGGGAGACAAAATGTAGGATCCCCTCCACCTTTACAGCTGCCAGGAATGGCTTAGGTACTTACTTGCACGTTTCCTTACAAGAGTCAATACAAATCTGTCTGTGTGTTATACTTGATCTCAGTGATGAATAGCAATATGCTGTTTGGTGAAAACAAAAAATCAAAGCACCTGTTTAGATAAGGACCCTGCTTACTGGGTTATATCAGTTTCATTTAATAAAATAAATATTTAGGTATGAACCTGCTGCACAAGTTTGCTGTCTTCCCCGCTAACCTTCCTTTCCTTGAGAAACTCAGGCAAAGCGGTCAGACAATTTAATAATAAATTAAAAATAAATTTTAATTTTCTGCAGACAGTTTCTATAGGGTTAGCTTGCCCGATGGCAGTGGTTTTGGCACAGCCCTGGCCAGTGGCAGGGGTAGGAGGGCGGCTGCCTGCCGGAGCTGCCCATGCAGAGCCGGCTCACCAGCCTCTGCCTGCCCGCGAGCTTCCTCGCAGGAGCCCATCGCCCCTGCCCAGGCCAGCTTGTCTCAGCACCCAAACTCTTGAGGCGCGGAGGCCTGGAGCGTCACCCCTTTTCCTCTCCCTTTGGTACCCAGAGGCTCCCGTTACCTTCCCCGGCTGGAGCTGGCTGTCTGGGAGAGCCCTGCCCTGGGGCAGCGCAGATGCTGAGGCCCCTCAGCCCATGGCCAGGACCAAGATTTTGCCCCCTCTCCCCAGCACTGACCCCAACGGCCACGGGGAGACGTTACACAGGCAAAAGCCATTCACCTGTTGCATTTACAACAGCAATAAAGCTCGCGTCCGCTCCCCCCTTCCTGCGTGCCAGGACCCTGGGAAGGCTGTGCAAATAGTTTTGTTCATGTTCTTACCCCAACCTGGGTTATCTTCGTTATTGCAATAATTTACCCCCTCAGGTAAAGGAAACATATAGTGACCACATCCACAGATTTCAGTCATGTGATTTTGGAAACAAGAGCGCAGGCAAGCCTGAAAAAGGGAAGAGGGACCTGCTTAGATGTGGGCTGAGCCCCCCTGCCCACCTCTGTGCCTCTGGAGTCTATGCTGGCTATGAGAATCACTCAGTTCCGAGGTATTTTCTCTCTTTTGCATTGAACAGATGATTTTGTGGCCGCACACAGAAAAGGCTGAAGCCACAGAGGGAGTGGGTGCTGCTGGAGCCCATCCCTGCGCAAATGCCTCCTCCAGCATGCACTGAGCATCGCCGTCGCTCTGGAAGCCTGTCACAACTGACACTGGTTTTACAATGGCGAGACAAGGCAGGTGGATAAGCTGCCATGTGTAGAGTTGCACTGCAGTTACGATTTCTTTATGATGCATTTTTACTACCACTCCTGGGGATTTTAAGGCACATCCTAGTTGTGAGCTGCCCGTGGGTAAGTCACCTTGCAGGAGCAGAAGGGACCTCAGTGCCTGCTCCCAATTGCGTGAGAAACTGCTCATTTCTTAACTATTTTAGGGCTTCGTGGAAGTAATATGAAGTTTCCAAAAAGGAATAAAAATGTTCTCCTACACCCATAGACACTGCTGTTGTCTCCAGGCTTTATATGACATACTGACAAAGGGCTGGTTTCCACTTTAAAGCCAGGACTCTAAAAATACTTCAACATAAAGAGCAGGTTTTAGAAACCTGAATTATCTTATCTGTGCATCTGCTTCTCTCCTTGAAAGGATTGCAGCCGCAGCTTCGGCAGCATGTGAGCCAGGCTGCAGCACTGCCATTAGCTTAGTGAGGCATGAAGTTAATCATCTGAGATTGGAGTGGGATTCTGGACGAAACAGTGCACAAAGCAATAACAAAGTCTATGAAAAGATAATTAAATTTAACAGTTCCAGCTAGGTAGAACAACCAGAGAATTTCTGTGTGATACAAAATGCTTACAGAGTTCACTGCAATCAGGGAGTGATGGAAAAGCCTGATTTTTCTGAGAGGTCTCTGAAGTGACGTGGATTATGTGGACATAGAGCCCCAGTCAGCATTTAGCAACTTTTAAGTAATAATGCAATCATTTCAAGTATTTGCTTAAGCCTTATACAAGCATCTTAAGAAGTAGGGTAAAGTGGTCCAACTGTTATAATTATATAAAGGCAGAAATATAAAAAAACCCTGCTAGACTGAAGCCCTCCCACCTGTCTGGGGTGTATTCTTCAGGCTTTTGCAAATAACCCCCAAAATGGTTTTGATGGTTTCCTTATTGCCAGATCTCACCCTCCAGAAATGCTTCTCCCTTATGTTATAGCCTGTTACAAATTAACCAGTGCTTAATGTTTACACTATATTTTTCTACAGTTTCAAGGTTTACAAACACTCAACTTTCTCATCCCAATGTTAAAGCAAAGAAAAGGCAAAGGTCTGTCTTCATTTCCTATACAAAACAAGCAGGCATTTTCAGGGTGAAAAATGACTTAATTCCCTTAAAGAGAAAAGGATTAAAAAGAGTAGGAGTGTTCAGGAGAGGAATCCCTCCTGTATATTCCTCTCCTGCCAGGGATAAATATTACTCGTGCACACAAAATAGGAGCTACTGTGCACATTAGAGCAGTGCCATGGCTCAAACCCGAAGCACAATAGCTCTCCGAATAGCTGTTAGTCTCCCAGCGCACCCCAAGCAGCAGAAGCCAGTCTAGCTCCTGGAAAGTGTCACATTAACATCTCGGCAAAAGCTTCCCAGAGCCGCGGTGGCCGTTGATGCTGCAGGATGGTGCCCGCGGTTGCTGCGGACAGAGCAGTTTTGCTGTCCCCATTGCAGCGGCACACGCAGCTACGGCGATTGCTCAAAACACCCTTGAGTTTAGAGTGGTTAGCCTGTTGGACATGGGGAGTAACTAGAGTCTAGCCCTTGCTGGTTGATCTACCTATAATTAAAAGATTTCAGCCAAGCATGGAAATTGTAGGGGAAAAAAAGATATTCTCGCAGCTGAAAAAGAAATGAATTGCCTTAATGACATGGCATGAGCAGTTACCCTTTTTAAAGGAGAAAAACTGCTCTGCAACCTCCTGGGGCTGAGGTGGGCAGCCAGCAGAGGAGCGTCGGGCTAACGCTGTGCCGGCAGCCATCCAGGAGCAGGTCGGGTCCCCGGGGAGGAAGGGGAGATCAACGCTCCCAACGGGACACTCTGGAAGATGTATTTTCCCAGCATTTCTTACATTATTAAGGAACCAGCATTAGCCAAAGCTATCAGGAGTTTCAGTCCATTTCAGCTGCTCTCCCCTGCACTGAAGGAGGGGGCTGCCTCCTGACCCTGCCACCCTGGGGCTCCAGTGGTCCCCAGTGCCTCCCAGTGAAACCAGTGCAGGGAGGGAGTGAGACTGGGCAGGATGGGGGCACGAGGTCTCCTTGGCTGGCGCTGCGGTTCTGCCCTCCAAGCCGAGGCAGTAACCGACCGGTGTGTGACGGCAGCTGGGGCTGCTCAGGGAGCCAAAAGGGGGGGAATCTGAAGAGCCAGCGGTTTTTAAGGGACGGAGGGGCCCAGGCGCACCCTGTTCTCGTTTTGCCTGGTCTTCAGGATGAGAGGGAACCCTCCGCTTTGGGGAGCTGAGCACCGAGGTGACAGGGTATGAGGAAAGGACCAGCATTAAACTGTGGTCATATGTGAAGGTAAAAATATTTGGGTTTTTTGTCTGCAAATTAGCACTTTGCTGGTAGGTCTCACCTAGCAGGGTCCCGTGTAACAACAGAGATCCTGGGGAGGTTTGCTGTGGTTTGGCTTTTGAGAAAATTATGATTTTCATCCTCTCAAAATGAAACAAAATTCCTACCTGGCTAAGGGAACAATAACTGCTGATGCCCTCTCCTTACCAGAAAAGAAGTTTCCTGTACTTGGGTTATGCTTTCTACTTCATCGTTGCTGATCCGCCAGCAATCCTGCATGCTAGTCAAAGATTTTAACTGCTTTGACAATTTTTCCTGAACAGTCTTGTTTGATTTAAAAATGTGTTTTACCTGGATGGAATAGGAAGTATTATACTGGCTATAGAGATTTTTTACGGGGACATCAGACCCATTATTGGTGCAGTCACTGTAGGGGTAGCCCATCCGTTCCAGTTCATCCTGAAAGAAGACCAAAACAGCAAACTTCAGCAGTTATCACTCCTCCCCAGGTCCCTGGTGCCTGTTTTCTAGAGACTCTGTAATTCCTGTATTCCCCGCTGACTTTGAAAAAAAATCAAAGACTCATAGGCAGCAGAGCTGAAAGAGATGCAGCCCATTCCCCAGGGTGGATTGAGGTAGATGAGGATGTTCAGGAGCAGTATGTTTTAGCAAGGCACCTTCTGACATGCTCAAGGAAGAGGGAACAATGACCTGAGCTCAATATTTTGGCTTCAATAAAGCACTTTGCCAGGACAGTTACATAAAAGCCTCCATAAACTGTTCCAGCCCACAGCTAGTGTATATCTTGACTCTTTTGGTTTGAGCCAGTTCAGCCAAGACTTAAAACAAACTTGGTTGCAGTCCCATCAGATAACATTATTCTCAGACAATCTGCTCTAGAGGAATGCCACACATACCACTAACACACCGATGGAGGTTTCTGTCCCCGCCATTGCATAGATGCCCTGATCCTTAAGGAAGGGGAAGCTCTTCTGTTGATGCAGCATGAGCCTGGCCCCGGCAGCGGATGACAGGTAGGGGATATAGTCTTGCTGACTGATGTCCAGAATTAACTTCAGCCCTGGGACAACAAACAAAACAGGACAGGAATTGTATCAAAATGTGGGTCTTTGGAAAAAAAAAGAGTCTATTTTCTTTTCACTGTGCACAAAGATCTCTGCCCCTGGGGGAGGAGCCAGGGTCTGGCTGTCATGTCAGCCTTGCATGTGCATAAACACACATGATGGCGAATGCACAGGATGGAAATATCTGAGTGAATATTCAGACATTGCCTCAGAGATTTTGGCTATCTAGATGTTACACTTCTGCTAAGTAACATCTGTAGTCACATCACTTGTTTCCATGTGGCACGTTTCCCTTTTAGGGGCTTATCCCCTCCCAGAAAACTGTTACTCCCTGCTGTAGTGCTCCAGAGACACAGAAATAGTAAATCTGTTATATCCAACAGAAATGGCCACTGAGAGACAGAATAACTAACTCCCAGCACTTCTGCTCCCTTAGCTCCTTCCTCCTTAGCAGACCTCTCTCTTACCAAACTCGGCTCCAGGGTTGGAGGAATTCAAAGCCTCTTCGTCCATGCCCCAGTTAAAGATGTAGCAGTTACCATGGTCTGGGTGATAGATTTGGGTGAAATTCCTGGAAGAATCATGCACATAAAACTGTGACTCTCGAGGAGGACTAAAGGGTTATAAAAAATGCATCTGGTGGAACCGGTGCTTGGCAGCTACATCTGGGATTCACTTTAAATTGCTTCTTTTGTTGAATGCCTGTGTAGAAATTTCAGCTGATATAATTTCAATCAATCTGCTGTTGAAAAAAAAGCAAAGCAAGGTACTGGTGTGTACTGAGACACAGCCACTGGGGGTAACGCTTTGTCGGAATGGAAAGGAATCATCCGTCACACAGAAGAGAGAAATAATTGCTTGATCTGAGCTATGGTAACAGGTTTTGGCTGGTGTTACATCTCGTTCTTTGACAGCAATTCTCTGTTGCCCTCTTTGCAGAAGGGGCAGGACTCCTCACAGCCTGGGCTGCTGCTGTGCGCTCATGTTTCTCAAAACTAGATATATAAATTTGGCATTCACAAGAAACAACGATGGCTAAAATGCATTTCTCCAAGCCTTGTGTAAAACAAGGGGGGGCTGTAACTGGGGGCTGCACTGCTGCACCAGGGGTACACTGACTCAGCACCTGGGCTGGCAGCTGGTTATCACTAAAAACCCTGGGAAGGTCCCATGGATGCTGTTAGTCTCAATGTGTCATGAGCAAAACAGCCCATCCAAACCTGAAACTCATGCAGCACTATTCCAAAAGAACCTGTTTCAGCCAGGATCACATCCAGAAACCCTCTGGGAAACATTGTTAAGAGTTAAGAACCAGCAGAAATCACTGTATTAACTGAAACATGCCTTAAAAAGAGAAAAGAAAGAGGCTGTCATGCCTTTAGTGTCCTGTACCATTCCTGGTGTGACAGAAAAGGGCAGGGAGCTCGGTATGCACCTACTTGTAGTTGCAGGGTTCGGCCCCATAGAGACACGCCAGGATCATGTCTTCTGCCTGGTAGCCCATCCTGATTCTCTCTTGCAGAGGGACTTTGGAGAGGATGCTGGTGGACTGCAGGATGTACCACTCGGTCACCGCCTGCGCCGCGCTGGTGAAGTTCCTGTAGGTGCAGTTGTCGGAGCCCTGATGGCTGCACTGGGGACACACAGCAGGCAGGTGTGAGCCCGTCCTGCAGCACGGGGCGGCAGGAGGGACCTACGGCATGAACCCCTTCTTCTTGCACACTCGGCTTGATGCCAGCCCTGCCTGCTGCTCGCAGGAGAAGGACAGGTACGGGCAAACGGGAGCTGTGGAGCCGGCTGTCACATCTGCCTGTGCTTACAGATGGGTCCCTCCCCAGGGAGATTTCCCAGCTGGCCACATTCTCCATCAGTCCCAGCATTACCTCCACAAACTTACAGAAAGCCTCACTTTTTGGCCAGTTCTTTAAGGCTGGAGTTGCCCCAGCTTCCAAGCTCTGGTCAGGCAGGGCCCCTGAAGCCTCTGTGGGAGCAGAGGGTGGGGGGTCGTGAGACCACCATGTGCCCCTGCACTGAGGACTGCAGCAGGAGAGGGACAGGGGCAGCGGCCCCCGTATTTTGGGTGCCAGATCTGAGAAAGACGTGAAGGTGACAGGGAGCCTGCACGGAGCACCCCTGCCCTGGCTCTGCCCTGGGCTCAGCCCGCAGCAGGGCTGCGCTGGGCAACCACAGAGGATGTACAGCGTTGTCCCCTGCGCTGTGGGCAGACTCTACTGATCAACGCTGTGCACATCTCAGTTACTGCCCATTGCTGCCCAGTGTTTCCAACATCCCTCTCACCAGAGGCTGACAGACCTGCTGGCAGGACCCGCTCCGTACCTCCGATGCAGTGCTAGGCTGCTACGCACTGTCAGTCCCTTTTTCCATGAGGAACGTGCTGATCTTACTGGTGTTATGCAGCTACCTAAAATTCATCACAGACTAACTTAACATGGCTCCTTGCTGGGCTTCCTTTCTTTTAGGAAGAAGTATATTTAGGGTATGATCCTGCTGCAGGCCCCATATGCAGAAATCCAGCAGCTTCAGCTGGGTGTCTGGCTGTGTATCCTGCAGGGGATCAGACCCCCCTCTGAAATTCTAAAAAATCTTAAAATACCTCTGTGCTGCCTTCCTCAGAAAAACAAGCAAACAGCCCTGGAGCCTTGAAATAATATGCCATAACTTGCAAACTGCCCTGTACCAAGGATGCCACCGGCACGGGCATCCCCCAGCCCTGGCCCTGGCCCCGGCCCCGGCATGGCTGGACCAGATGCTGGAGGCAGAGTGGCTGCAGGCAGCTGGTGGGGAAGAGATGCCGATCTCCGTGCTGCAGCCCTGCCAAGGGGCCCAGCGCTGCCCGTCCCTCACCCCTCTCCGGCTGCCTCCCCTGGGACCCCTCTCACCAGCTTCACCGCCAACTTGTACTTCTTTTCTTCCAACGTCGTGTTGGCTGGGGCAGGTGGAGCAGCGGTTTGGTTGCCCGCAGAGGTTTGGTTGCCCACAAAGGTTTGGTTGCCCACAAAGGTTTGGTTGCCCGCAGCGGTTTCGTCGCCCGCAGCGGTTTGGTCACCGGCAGAGGTTTGGTTGCCTGCAGCAGTTTGGTCGCCCGCAACGGTTTGGTTGCCCACAGTGGTTTGGTTGCCCCCAGCAGTCTGGTTGCTTTCAAAGATGTCCAGGATGACGGGGTTGTCTTTGTCGTGCTCATCAATGAGGACCAGGGGTATCTGGTGCCAGAGCCTCAGGTCGAGCGGTGGTGAAGCGTTCTCACTGCTGTTCCCCGGTGCAGGCTGCAGGATCCTTTCCAGCGCTGCTTCAATGAGCCTGTCCAGCTCTTTCAACAGATGCTTCACCTCTGAGTATCTGCAGGACAAAAGGCAGTTACCAGGCAGTGTCAAGGTGATGGGGATGAGCAGCAGCTCATCGCCACTCCACTGGCTTGGACCTTCCTGGGGACCTCAGCTCTCTGCCTGAAAGATTTACTGCAGAACGATGGGAGCCTCCATGCAGAGTTCATCCAGCTCAGACAGGGGAATCCCAGCAGCCTGCAACTGGGTGGAAAACCAGCAGGAGGATAAACAGAGAGTGCTACAGTGGTGAACCTGCCAGCGCAGAACCGAATTGGTTGTATTTCAGTAATTCACTATAGTTTACACAAAACATCTCTAGCAAGCAGAGAGAAAAAACAACCCCAAGGTAATTCCTGCGTGTTGGTTGAAAGCATCTTGTCTTGGGCTACACTATTGCATGGATATAAATTTAAAGCAGCTCTAACAAAAAATCAGTTACTCCTTTGAAATTACTATGGAGTTATATTACTGCAGCTCACAGCTGATACTACTGTTTAACCAGCTCTTAATGGCTGGAGTGTGAGCGATAAGAGGGACGTTCATGGCAAGGAAGGAGAAAGAAAGGAATTGTGGGGAAAGATCAAGAGACTGATTTTGGTTTTGACAAGTGAGTTGAACTTCGAGTTTTCCCTGAGCCAGGGAAAGTTTGCTGGGAGGCAACAACCACCATTAGATTAACTGATACAGTAAGGAAACCCAGGCAAACTCGCAGCACAGAACCCTCCTCTGAGCCATTCGCCCTCATATTGTTCTCCTTTATTTGGTTTTACTGCCACTTGGTGAGTCCACTGATGCTCCTAACATGATAGCTGAGACAGGAACAGGTCCACAGTACCTTACACTAGCAGTGTAACTGAGGGTGTTAAAGCACAACTGGGTAAATTAGGTGAAGAAAATCTTACTTGAAAGGGTTGGCATTGCAGACCGTGACTGCTGGGAACTTCATGGTCTTAAAGCCAATAGAGAGAGTTGAAGTGACGTTATAGGAGAGGTAGGTGTTGATGAGGATACCCCACTGCCAGAAGACCAGAGACGCAAAGAGCAGCGTTAAGAAGAACCAGATTAATTTCTTCTTTGGCCCTTCTTTGATGATGCGCTTCGGGCCGTGGGTGTTGGTGTTGTCGCAGTACCAGACCAGCAGCTCCTTGTAGGTGTAGCCAGGGCCCTTCTGCAGGCGGTGCAGCGCACGAACAAAGTACTTCTTCAGGTTCATGCCGCTGTTCGCAAGTGGGAGAAAAGACATCAGAACAGCTGTGTTGAAAGGCAAGGTTTGTGTTTTGCCAAGTACACTTGTATTGTCAGCAAAGCAGAACTGGAGTAATGTGATGGCCCGACTGTGGTTTTGTAACCCAGGAGAAATTCAGAGCAGATGTTCTGCAGGGTCATGGCGTGGCAGTGAAATGGCCCGGAGCCCCTCACCTCCTGAGAAGGTACAAGGGGGAGGTTTGTGCTGAGCGGTTCCAAAAGTGGCAAATGTTTTTCTCATGTCCCTTCCGGCCCCACGAGAGTGAAGTGACTTTGGACCTGCTGGACATGGCTCTGCCTGTGTGACTTACCAAGACCGGCCCTCGGGCTCTGCAGATGTTGCAATAACTAACCAGGTAACTTCTAGGAAGTTGGTTTTTTGTGTGCCAACTGGTACGTCTGTAACATTGTCTGAAACCTTTGCCAACGCTAGATGGACCAAGCAGTACACACATGAGCTGGTTTGAGCTAGAATTCAGGCTAACAGTGTTTAGTTTTCAAGCTAATATAGGGCTTAAGACAATTTTTCTTAAAAGTAAAAAGTATTACAGCGCACCAGGCTATTGGAGGGGGTAGGAGAAGAGGACCTGGAACAAGCAGCACCTTTCCCAGGACCAGGAATGCTGTTCAGTGCTGCTGCCCGCCGGAGGAAGGACAACGGGTTGGTTTTTTCCACCAAATTCCTTTGTCTTTCAGATACTATCGGTATGCTTCCACTGCTCATGTGAGGGATGCTGCATATTTTACATTCATATTGTGAGTAAATAGAACATTTTGTGCTGCTATGTTAAGGTGAGAATTTGTGTTACTAAATCTTAATATCCTGAGGCAGGATTTCAAAATAAACCCGAGTCAGCTGCTTACAACTTTTTTCAGATTTAAACTGGGAGAAAAGAATTAAAGATTAATGCTGCATATAACTCAGCATCCTAGAAGAATGAGTGCTGTAATAATACAGCAGTATGTCAATAATAAGCAGTACTCGGCAATGCAGAAACTAGATTAACATGAAGTTATTTGTCGCTAGACTGCCGAAGGTACAAGGGGAAGCTGAAGGGTGCACACAGGCCTCTCGGGGAGCAGGAGCAACTGTGTCCTTACTTTTCCAAAAAAAAAAAAAAAAGGTAATACTGATTCATTGGTTTATTGGCCAGATCTGCAAAATCTCCTGAGTAGTGTATACAGAGTTTGATAAAAGTATAAAGCCAATAGATTTTATGATGTCTCAGTCCATGATGCAAAGAGAGATGATGGGTTTCATTGCACACCCTATTACATGTGACGTTAGATGTAGTGAAGTCTCGATGGGAGAGTGCTTTGGAAAGAAGAAACTCCAGCTGCTTCCTCCAAGATTTGAGGGCAGGCTCTAGTCTCGTGTGAAAGCGTTTTGTTCCCCAAGGAACATGGGTCCTGCGACTCGGACCTCCTGGACCCCCCCCAGACCCTCAACCCACCAGCGCATCGTCAGCTCATCCTCCGTGAACTCGTGCCACAGAGGTTCTTGCCCACAGCTGCCTGCAGAAGGGTTTATTCACAGAAGGAGCTTACATTGCATCAGACATTTTCTGGCTTTTGGGCAGGACTATAACGAAAACAGGAGCAACGACCTTAGCCTCTGCTTAATTACCCATGGGGAAGACTTGAAAGACGCGCAGCCGTTCTGCCCAAGCCTTCTGCTGCCAGGTGTGAACACAAACCCATCTCAAGGCACAGCCTCAAGACTGGTCTCTGCTTTATAAAATAGTATCATCAAAATGCATTTAAATCCAGAGAGACTAGCAAGGCAAACTAGTAAATAATTTCTGCCTTTTAAGAAATCCAATAAATTACTTAGATTAGATTGAAATTTAAAACACACCTACACTGCACTGGGCAAAATCCAGCCCGGCTGGACCTGACTGGCCACATGCCCTGCAGCCTGTTTGCTCTGCTGCTTACAGACTGCGCCGGCCAAACACGGCGCGTGGGCTCCTGCTGAGCATCAGAGACCTGCCACGGAGAGATCCCGGTTTGTCGTACAGATCTTTGTGGGTTGCTCATCAACCTGACATTGCTGGAAGAAGTTATTTTTTCTTTTTATATTGTTTCTTGAAGCTGAATTTTAGCTTTTTTTTCCTGATGGCAATGTTGAGACACACACTTATGGGTTATGGAGCACTCACAGAGTAAAAGCTCTGCTTTCATAACTGAGTAAAGTGAGAGATACAGAATGGATAATTTTGATGCTGCTTTAACTTTGTTCATGGTTTTGCAGAAGTCATTGATACACTTGTTCTCCACCTTGAATTTATTTCCATTTAACCACCTAGCCTGAGAGTGCTCTTTGCAAAGTCATGGTATGCTTGCTAGTGATAGCAAGGGGAAGATGCTGTGCTAGAAAAGGAAGACCAGCTCCAAATCAGTTTTAAGCAAAGCTTGGAGTGCCTTCTATCTCACTTTATCTCTTCAGCTCACCTACCATAAAAACCCTGTGCTGAAGGGCAGCATTTTCACATTTTTTAAGTTAGATTCAGGCCACACTGTGGAAAATAAGATTAAACTAGTTTTTAGATATGTTTTAAACTGATTTAAGATGTTTTTTTCCCTCATGTCAAAGCTATGGTACCTGCTCTTTGTAAGTGCTGCTCTGTCCCACAGCCCCGCGGGGCACCTGCCAGGGGGAGCACAGGGATGGGGACAGGGACGGGGTCGGCTGGAAGAGCATCCTCAGGCAGGATGTCTGCAGCATCCCCTCCCTGCCATGAAACTTACGGAGCCCAAAATTAAAAAAAAGAAGTTAACAAAGGTGTGCTGGCAATACGGTCAAGCAGACAGTCACAGGTTTTACAGGGGATGTCTTAACATGGCAGCAGAGTGAAGGACCCAGGTTTATTCTTCCTTTAGGCATAAGCTGTGCTTTTAAATGGTCATTTGATAAAAGAAATGGCATTAAGCAAAAGCTGCGCTTGACCATACGGGGATGACTTTTTTCAATCTTTTTTTCTTACTTTAATAGTTTTCTTCTTACCTTTATTTCCAAAATGTTTCCGAATAGACTTCTTATTTCTTTCTCACTGCTGGATGCCACTCTGTGTGAGGCACCTTGCCCAATCGGAAGCCAAAGCCCCTGTTATGGGGGGCTCCTTGCCCCGGGCACAGAGGCTCAGTGCTCAGATGCCGTAGCTCTTTGGAGGGGGCTTGGTACTGGTTTTGGTGCCAGCCCGGAGTCTGTCCTGCTCTCTCCCATCAGCGGGCCAGACCTGGAGCAGAGAAGTGACAAGTGAGGGATGACAAGACTCACCCTCCATCAGTACACTGGTAACTGTCACCCCTTCCCAAAACCCCCTCTGGGGAAAGGCAGCGGAGGCAACAGTGGGACTGGAGCCGAGGAGGAGGAGATCAGGGCTGGGGGCTCAGGAGGAGCTTCCCCCTTGATGGACACGCAGCCTGGCTCCTGCTGGCGAGTGGCATGCAGGGCAGGCTCATGGTTACAAAAATCTGTCCCTGCTGCTGCCCTCAAATCCCCCGTTATTCATACAGCCTGTGAAGCTCGAGGGCCCAGACGTTTGGCAGCTCCCGGCTGCCGCTCACTGGTTTTATTTCTTGTTTGGCTGCTCCACTTCCAAGGCCTCGGTCAGGGAAGGGGAACACACACCCGTTAGGCTCCCTCACTCCTCCTTCTCCTTTGCATTTTTAATTGTCACACTGCTCCATTTGCAGAACTGGTCTGTAATGTGCAGGCAAGAACTGACTTTGTCTCCGTCGCAGGTGGTTCCAGGGAACCACTGCTGCTTCCCTCGCCACCTCCCCACCGCCGTGCTTTCCTCTGGGCTGCCCCTTGTCAGCACACTGGTGTCGCCTAAAATGTCTGTCAGGAGTTCACCCTAGGGACACGAGACTCCTGCAGTGCACAGGGTGCCACATGCCTCTCTCCTGGCAGTATCCACATCCCCATGATGACCAAAGCTGTCCTAAAAGCTACGTGCTCCTGGTTCTAATGTGGTTTTGCTTTGTGCTGCGAAGGAGGTGTCCCCACTGTCCCCCAGCAGCCGTGAGTCCAGCCCTGCATCCTCCCAGGTGAAACTCCTCCACCTTACGGGTGAGATCAGACTCCCACGTTACGAAATGATTACAATGGCTGTGTTGAATCTCCTCTGGGGTTTTCCTAGGGCAACTGCCACTTAAATGAAATAAAGACATAAGCAAAACTCAGCACGCTCCTGGAAGCTCCAGGGTGGTACCTTGGCTGCAAAACCACTTCAACGTAACCAGGCCTGATACTGCAATTATTCAGTACTTTCTATACTGGGGGACATAACAGTCATTCCTCTTTGATCACCAGCTGCTCATCTGCCATCTTCTCCAGAGCCTGATGAAAAGACCTTGTTTTCCTAGAGAAGACATTTCTGCTATTTAGTGGTACTTTTGCAAATTAGAGGAAACTTTTTTACTACATCACGAGTTTATTGGTTGGCAGTTAAAAGAGAAAATTGGAGCAGTAACGTGTCAGTGAGCAATGAAAGCCTCTCCTGCACCCGGGGTCACAGAGCGCCCAGCAGATGCTTTTTGCCTTGCTGCTGTGTGTGATGGGTGAGCGGCCGCCACAGGCAGCCGCCAGCTCAGGTGCCCACGGCCGCCGCCCGGATCCACGCAGGCGCCTGCAGGTCTCCAATCCCCACAGGCACGTGTACAGCACTCGAAGAGTATTTGCAGTTTGGAAGTTTAGATAGCATTTCCCTGACTCTGTGCTGTATGTTAGATGCTCCATCCCTTCCTCCCCCGCCTGCCTAACCCTGTGGTTCCTGTGATGTCCCTGTCTCCCAGGACGATGACAAGCCTTACTCCTCACGTGCCAGTAAGGTCACGTTGCTAAGGGTTAACTCTGCTGCTTGTGCAATGAACAATGTAAATCCTGGAATGTAAGTGGGGCAAAAAAAAAACCCCAGCAGCTCCTTCCTCACCTGCAGATCTCTTATTCTGCAATAAGGC